ATGCGCTAATAAATTTGTTAGTCTCTAAGGTGCCACAAGTACTCCTGTTCTTCTTTTTGCGGATACAGACTAACACGGCTGTTACTCTGAAACTTATCTCTATACAGGCTACCTTGAAGCCACTCCCATATTTTCCCTAACACCATCAGCTTTACTCCCACACCATTCCCCATTGCCTATGATTAAATGATCCATGATAAAATTTGCTGATGACAACATGTAGTTTCATAATTAGGCTTTAGATTTAATACCCTAGTTAGAGTGATATGGGGAGCAGGCAAATTCACTTTTCCCAGAGCTATTGTTTCAAGATGTCTGCAGACTCAGGAACATAGCACTCTATCAGTTTACACTCACTTTTCATTTGGAAGGTTAATTTACAGCCACCTGAGATTAAAAACTCATTATTTTGTAATGACACTTTAGATTCTGCATGGTTTGGATAAAAATAAATATCTCAAGCCAAACAGCATATCTGACATTCATACCGTAAATAACATGACATTCAATAACAGATTTAAAAGCAGCCATTCTTCAACAACAAAACTTCAAAAACAGACTTCAAAGAGAAACTGCAGAGCCACAATTCATTTTCAAACTTAACACCATCAATTTGGGTTTGAATAGTGACTGGGAATGGCTGGCTCACTACAAAAGCAATTTTCCCTCTCTTGGTATTGACACCTCCTCAACAATTACTGGGAATGGATCACATCCGCCCTGACTAAAATGGCCTTCAACACTGGATCTCCACTTGTAAGGTAACCCTTCTCTTCATGTGTGAATATATATTTATGCCTGTATCTGTAATTTTCACTCCATGCATCTGAATAAGTTGTTTTTTCACTCACGAAAGCTTACACCCGAATAAATCTGTTAGTCTTTAAGGTGCCATCAGACTCCTCGTTGTTTTTGTGGATACAGACTAACACGGCTACCCCTATATATAATAGAGAACATGATTGGCCCTATTTAAGGATAAATAATTATTTTTTACATTAGACATTATATGCAGTTACCAATGGCAAATACTGGGGTTGGATAACTGGAATACAAAATGGGGGAGAGGGAAAGAGCTACTGTGTTGGACACAAAAATCAAAGAGTCAAGATATATTTATTACATCCATAAGCCCTGAGCAATGTCACCAGAGAAGACACAGACCCCCCCTTGTGTCTCCGTCGGGAGGAAATAGAGGCAGGTTGCTACGATGCGATCCCTGCCGTTTCCTTTCTCCGGGCTGTCCCGCAGGGGGAGGAGATGTCTGAGGGCAGAAGGAACACAACGCCCCAGCCAGACACGGTTGCGAGGAGCGACAGGGGTGCGAGGCGCCTGCAGAGCTGCCCCAGGCCCCGCGCCTCCCCGCACCAAGGATGAGAAGGGGCCAGGCAGAGTCCGCTCCCTGCCAGCCACCCCCAGCCCCACCCGAGCGCCCCCTGCTCTCCCAGCCTGCAGACAGGCCACCCGACCGGGGGCGGGGGGGAAGGGACGGGTCTCGGCCACTACCGGGGCGAGACCCACCTGAGCTGGCGGCGGATCCCCCAGTACCAGGCCGCCCCCTCGGCTCCAGCCTCGCATCCCGGCCGCATCCTACCCCGCAGCCGGCGGCTCCCGGTCCCCGCAGGCCCTGCCCAGGCTCCCCTCGGGTCGCGGGGGCCCGTCTCTCACCTGCTGCCCGCCCGCCCGGTGGCTCCGGCTGCTGCCTGTCAGCGACGGAGGGGGGAGCAAGGGGGCAGCGACACCAGGCAGACTCCGATTCGGCTCCTCCCCGCTCGCTTCTCCCTCACGCTCGGCTCCCTCCCGCGCCCCCGGCTCGAGACACTAAGTCCCGCCTCCGGCGCGAGCCTGCGAACCCCGCCCTCCTGCCACCGCCGCGCGACACACCAAGCTCCCGCCCCCTACGCTGCGCGGCGCACCAAAGCTCCGCCCCTGCGCGGGCCTCTCCTGCCTGCGCCGCGCGAGCTAGGGAGATTCGGAAGCTGCTGCGCCCCCTGACCGCTGGGCTGTTGCTCCTGGACCCTTAGCGCGTGCGCGTGCGCCGAAGTGGCTGTAAAAAGACCGTCACGAGGTCAACGTCGTCCCTGGCGCGTCTGGTGTAGGCGGGAAGTTTGTCTTTTCCCGCTTGCCGTAACCACGTTCTCGATAGGGTAGAGCTGCTGCTGCTGAAGAAAGGAGTGGAGCCCCACCCCCACTCACGCACAGGTATTGAGCGAACCAGCCGCGTGGGGGGTGGTGCCCGCTCCTTATGTGGTCTCCCGGTGGATGCACAAGCGCCGCGCCCCCGCCGTGACTGGCTGATAGACCCTGTGGGGTAGCGCCCACCCCCACCGTGCCGGGGCCGATGCAGACGCAGCTTCCCCCGGGACGGAGAGTGACGCCGCCTCCGCTCCAGAGCCGGCTCTCGGCTGAGCACGCGGGGCCTCGTTATTGAAACGGCGCTAATGTCGCAGCGGGCCCGGCCACGACTTTCCGCGCGCTCGGGGGCGCGGGGCGGCTGCGATCGGGGAGCGGCCACGAGACACGTGCCCGGCCGGCCGCGATGGGAGAGCCGGGCGCAGCAGAGCCGGGGGCGGAGTTGGAGGGGAAGGGGGGGGGTCTCTGCCCAGAGTTAGGCGCCGTCGTCGTCCCCCGACGAGCTGTCGACATGAGACGCCTTCGCCGTAGGTCGTTCAGATCAACGTGATCCTCGACTGGGAGAGTAGAAGTTGCGGGGGCGTCTCCCAAGGCCAGCCCCGCGGTAGCTGGGGTAGATGTAGGATCCTCCTGCTCCTTTCTTACAAGGAGGATCAAATGGCTGATACTGTGGACATTTAGGGTATGTCTACACTTACCCTTTAAAGCTCAAAAAGTCCCTTGTTTGCGCTAAAACTCTGGGAGCATCTACGCTTGTTAATGACTTTTTGCCGTTAAGTAAACCACCTTCGCAAGAGGCATACAGCTCTTACCGCTGTTTTTTATGTGCTGCTGTGAAAGTGAAGACACGTTCTAGCAGTGTAAACACCCTTTGGCCTCCGGAGGATATCCCACCGTTCCAAAAGCGAACACCCTGGCCAGCTGCTCTGACGCATGGACATCCGCCCCTCCACCTGTAAGCCCCAGGAAGTTTGAAGCTCCCTTTCCTTTTGTTTGTAGATGGCGTGGGGAAAGCAGCCAGACAGCAGGAGGTGTTTTTTTAAAAAATGCCACAGAAGAAACAAGGAAGTAATGGGGCTCCTGAGGCCTGGTCCCCACAAACCCCCCACTTCAGACTAAGGTATGCAAATTCAGCTACGTTAATAATGTAGCTGAATTTGAAGTACCTTAGTCCGAACTTACCGCGGGTCCAGACGCGGCAGGGAGGCTCCCCCATCGATGCCGCGTACTCCTCGCCGAGCTGGAGTACCGGTGTCGACGGCGAGCACTTCCGGGATCGATTTATCGCGTCTAAACCAGACGCGATAAATTGATCCCAGAACATCGATTGTCTGCCGCCGGACCCGGAGGTAAGTGTAGAAGTACCCTTAGAGACTAAGGGCAATACAGGGCACTTCTGCTCCCTCCCTCCTCCCACAAGATCTATCGAGATAGCTGCACTGTGGGATAGCTGTCCTACAGCGCTGCTCTCATAGGGGATCGAAGTGCTGGTAGTGTAAACACTCTCTGACACCTGAAGAATTGAGTGAGTACACAAACCAGTGCTTTACTTTCACTGGTTCACTATCACCAGTGAAACTTACAGCGCAAAAACTCTGTAAGTGTAGACATACCCTTAAATTATCATCACCGAACATCTGAGCGGTATAGAGTAATTCACACCTTTCAGAGATACTGTTACAGGCTCCATGGGCTGATCTAGATGTCTCTGTATTGGTATGTGTTTTTGTGATCATAAAAGCTAGAGACTTTTTTTGTTATTGGTGTTTTTTAAAGTGAAATTCTGGGGAACAAATTAACTGCTTGAGAGCGATGCCAATACACCATACTGCTATGTACCAACCCAAGCCCTGTCTAACATACAGAATTTTTTTACAACGCAATCTAAGGTCTGGTCTACACTATAGACCTATATTGGTATAACTGTGTTGCTCAGGGGTGTGAAAGAGCCATACCCCTGAGCGCTGTAGTTGTACTGACCTAACACACACACACACGTGTGCAGACAGCACTTCTTCTGCCAACATAACTACCGCCTCTTAGGGAGGTGGATTAATTAAGCTGATGGAAGAGCTTTCTTCCAGTGTCTTTGTTAAAATACTACAGCAGTGGCAGCTGCGCCAAAGCAGTGTTTTAGCTGTAGACTTACCCTGAGACAGCATATCTACCCTTCTCTAGTAGAAAACAGGAAAAGTGGTGCATGAATGACAGCCTGCAGCGTGTGCTTCCACATATGGCAGCAGCAACCCAAGGGGAAAAGTGATCTGAAGGAAATGGGTACTGTGTCTTGCACAGGACTAAAGTATTCTAACAGCCTCAAGTTTAAAGACTACATTTTGCAACTTAAATAATTTTCTGTAAAGAAAGACAGCAACAAGCTAGAATGGAACAGAAGCACATATAAGTCTCAAAGAATGAGATGCATAGTCAGTACCGAAGAAGTGGGCTGTAGCCCACGAAAGCTTATGCTGTAATAAATTTGTTAGTCTGTAAGGTGCCACAAGTACTCCTGTTCTTTTTGCGGATACAGTCTAACACGGCTGCTACTCTGAAACCTGTCAGTACTGAACTAATATCCCAGATTCATTTAGGGTTTACTGTCCTGCTGCTTGAAATGCTATCTTTGTACCTGATAAAACAACTACATTTTTTAGTACCTGTGGCTTGAATGACTTCATACTACTTTTAATATTATAAAAGCAGGGATGTTAGATGCTCTCCTGGATTAATTTCTATTCTGTTAATTGCATTCTACCAAACTAAATTCCCACGACACTTACACATGGATATTGTGTTTGTCACTGCCAGTCCCAAACAATCGTACAGTATTGCTATGTTCTGTTACACAGCTATGTTTTTCACTATAGAGGTGACTGAATTGGTTTGTGTAAAACTGGTATCTCAGTCTGAGTTTGTAAAGATCTTTGGTATTCTTCTGAAAGAAAGAAGTTATATAAATTAAAGTTATTCTGAGATTTTTCATGAGATGTTTAAACACAGAGTGTGTGCGCAATAAGGGTCCGCTCTCCAGGACAAGCCATTTTCTTCTACATCATTTTACAAATGTGAAAGTTTAAAATACTGAATAATGTGACCAAAGTGAAAGGTTACTTGTGTCAGGTAAGCTGCGTAATAAAAAGTCCCCTATAAAGTTTACACACACTATCTAAATTCCACTGCAATTTCAGTTTGATACTGTAACATTCCCAGTTTGTCCTAAACTGTTACGCAGCATTTTTGTGCCCTGTTAAAAACACGTGCAATGTTCTACTTCAAAGATTGCTCTATCCACCACTGAAATGCAGCTATCTGCATATAGTTTATATATTGGTTTGTCTGTAAAATGCTGTGGGAAGGAAATATTGTAGAAGGAAATATCCTGTATAATTGTAGATTATCTAAAAATAAGAAAAATGGGATAAATAGGAATTTAGAACAGAATGCACTGGATTGTCTCCAGTACCAGCCAGCTAAGTACCTCTTTGAGCTCACATGTTTGACTAGCTTGCTCTGGGTGGGATCTGTGGAATGATTGTTATTGAAAGAATGTAAGAGATTTTCACTCAGCAAACCATTGCCTCACTCTGAAGGAAATTTCTTATCATACTGAAAAAAGGGGTAACATGCTGGGGAGGAAGAAAATAAGAGTATTGTGAACTACAGATTGCATGAAAATTTGTTTTAGGGTGTGTGTGTGTGTGAGTGTGTGTGTGGCCCTTGGACTATCATTTCCCACAATAGCTATGTTCAGTTGGAACAGTGAAGCTGGTAGCCATTACAGGGGAACTTGTGAAACTTTCTCAGCAGCTAGATAAAAACTGTGGAACTCCTTACCGCAAGAGATAAGAATAAACCACATTCACCTCACCACTTTCAGAACTCTATCCAAAATTAATTTCTTTGATTTGGCCTTCTCAAAACAATTACTTTATTTTTAAAAACAACAACCTACACGCAGATTACTCTGACACATTGAATAAAGAAGGGGAATAATTTTATTTTTAAAAAGCTTATGGGGTGTTAAAGTACTACAGTAATAGGCTCTATAGAAGAACCTAGATGGGCTAATTGGTTGTGGAATTTCCTGCCAGCTGAGGTCAGGATAAAAAACTGTAGGGCCATGATCATTTTTGGAGCACAGTGCAAAACCTAGATTTTTGTGCATCTCTTTCCTTGATGGGTGGGGAGGAACTGCCTGGGACCCTTACAGGGCAAATTTGAAGAGAATTACCTGTAAATAATAAAAACGAGGAATCCTTTTGGCACCTTAGAGAATAACAAATTTATTTGGGCATAAGCTTTCGTGGGCTATAACCCACTTCATCAGATCCATGGAGCGGAAAATACAGTAGGCAGGTATAAAAATACAGCACATGAAAAAATGGGAGAGTTGCCTTACCAAGTGAGGGGTCAGTGCTAACAAAAGCATGTGGGATTAGCACAGAGGAGATCCACAAGCCAAAATAAAGAAATAACCTGATTATGTCTACCTAAACATTCCCTATCCCAATGAATCCTGCTAGGTATGGAAAATAATTTTTCATACCTGGTTCAAACCTTCAACAGCATTCCTGCTTATAGCATTGCTGCTCTGTGTTCCTCCAATCCAGACAGAGCAACAGACAAACAAACTTTCCCTTTGTTTCCCCATTTTAAAAAAATCTAGCCTTCCCATTGGCTCTTTTGGTCAGGTGCCCACTTTTTTTCCCTTTACCTGAGGGACTTTTTAATCCTTTACAGGTAAAGCAAGTAAAGAACAGCTACCAAGAGGGATTTTACAGCTAACTGGCTGGCTGGGTGTCCATCAAAGGGAGCTATCCCCCCCCCCTTTATTTATCACACGCCCCCCAAATCACAGACCGTGCTGGCCAGCCTGGTTCAGGTTGGGTCCACACCGGCTGGGATTTCTTCCTGGAGATTTAGGAAACAGTTAATAAGATGCATGCACCTCTAATTTTACTAATAATTACATGAAGAACTAATCAGTACTTTTTACAGTTCAAGGACTACAATAACTTAGAATGCAGGGACATTTTTACCCGGCTGATTCTGGGAAACCTTCCCGGGAGAGTGCATCAGCCACTTTGTTAGAGGCTCCTGAGATGTATTGTATCTCAAAATCAAAGTATTGAAGAGCTAAACTCCACCAAAGAAGTGGGAACCAGAACCACCAGAGAGGCCCATGCACTCTCAGAGGGGCGGATTACACCCATCTGTAACATGTCCATGTCTGTTGTCCACCTTAGGGCTCTGAACCGCCGATGGGCATGCTCGGGTGTTAGCCCCATTCTAATTCTGGCCTTTTGTTTAAAAAGTTTGTACTCGTTCATGTGTTCTTTAGGCATTTCAGCTGCCACCTCTGCTAAGAGTCCATTGAGCTGCGGCCTCAGGTCCACCATATACTGGTCTATAGGGGTATTGTATCCAAGGCAGGAGCTTTTGAAATTTTCTAAGAAGGCCTCTGTATCATTGCCTACCTTGTATATGGGAAATTTCTTGGAATGGGGAGCGGTACCTGGAGAAGGATTGTTAGGGCTATCTGATTGATCCAGCTTAGCCTTTTCTAGCTCTAAGCGCTTCAGGCTCCACTTCCAAGTACTTCGCCTCTCTCCTCTTCTCTGCTTCTGCCTCTAAGCGCTTCACCTGCATTTCCGCCTCCAAGTGCTTCACCTGTCTCCTCTCCACTTCCAACTCCAAGCACTTCATCTGTAGGAAGAAATCCCTGTCTTCCGCAGTCAGAACTCGGTCTGGGTTAAGGGCATCCCTCCATCCTGGCATCTGGATCTCGGTTGTGGGAGGGCTGACCCTTCCCTCCTGGGAAGTTCCCAGTCCCCCACCTTTTCTCTGCATTTCTGTCATGGAGTTGGATGTCTAGGCTTGATCTGGGTCTGTCTTCTCTGTGGTGTGCCGCTTTGGGAAGACTGGTTTCTCTAGGGTTTCGGTGCCTGACCTCAACCTCATGCATAGGCTGCCCTACTTAGCCTAACTATTTCGTTGCCATGAAGCTAGAAAAGAAAAAAAACTGCTTGTTGGACTCTGGCTTTGCAGGCTAACCCTTTGGCATGCCTGTTCCTCCTCATTGGTCCTTCTGGTCAGGTGCCAACTAGGTGATTTGAGCTGCTTAACCTCTTACAGGTAAAGCGATTCAGTACAGCTGCCAAGGAGGGATTTTATGCCACCCTTTTCTTCATATTTATGACAACTTGCCACTCCAGGCTTGTATTAAACTCCCAAGGTTACAGCTTCTCTCTGACCTTGGCTTGGTAAACGCTGCCACCACCCAAATGTAAAAAAATCCCCATTGAACCTAGGAAGGAGCACTTGGGAATTCCTCCCTGTGGCGTATACTCAACCCTTTCACCCCCCTCTGGGGAAGAGCTGAGAAAGAAAACAAAGGAAATTAGCTGTGGCCACCAGCTAATCAAACAGCATATGCACAAACCTCTTAGGACACAAAAATCCAAATCCTTCTTAAAAAAGGTAAATTTTATTAAAACAAAAAACAAGAAAATACATTTGGAACTTAGGCTTTTTCTAGATTTTAAAAGAGCAAATCCAAAAATTAAGCACTGAAACTAGCTTTCTTGGGGGTTCAGCTTAAAGGTTACAAGCAAACAAAAGCATCAGGGATTAGTACAGAGGAGATTCACAAGCCAAAATAAGAAATAAACCTGATGGCGTCTAACTAAACATTCCCTATCCAAATGATTTCTTCTAGGTATGGAAGATACTTTTTCATACCTGGTTCAAACCTTACACAGCATTTCTGCTTATAGCATTGCTGCTCCATGTCCCTGCAGCCCAGAGAACAACAGACAAAAAATTGTAGCCTTCCCATTGGCTCTTTTGGTTTTTTTCTTTACCTTGGGGACTTTTTAACCCTTTACAGGTAAAGCAAGTAGAGAACAGCTACCAAGAGGGATTTTACAGCTAACTGGCTGGCTGGGGGTCCATCAAAGGGAGCTACCTCCTCCCATTCATTTATCACACATGTGAGCTGTCTCAAGTGCCCATCCCTGCAGAAAATTTTCCCCTTTCCCCCCCAGATATTACGGAGCACAAAGCAGGCAGCTATAACCATGGGGATGTTAGCTTCACTAAGGTCCAACCTTGTTAGTAAACTTCTCCAGCGCCCTTTTAAACAACCAAAGGCACATTCAACCACCATTCTGCATTTGCTGAGCCTATAGTTGAACCGTTCCTTACTACTGTCCATATGGCCGGTCTATGGCTTCATGAGCCATGGGAGCAAGGGGTAGGCTGGGTCCCCCGGGATAACTATGGCATCTCAATGTCTTCAGTGTTCATTTTGTGGTCTGGAAAGAAAGTCCTGGATTGCAGCTTTTTTAACAGACCCAAGTTCCTAAAGATGCGCTCGTCATGAACCTTTCCCAACCATCCCATGATGTCAGTGAAACACCCCCTGTGATCCACCAGCGCTTGCAACATCTTTGAAAAGTATCCCTTTCCGTTTATGTACTCTTTGTCAAGGTAGTCTGGTACCAAGATGGGGATATGTGTGCTATCTCTCGCCCCATCGCAATTAGGGAACCCCATCGCAGCAAAACCATTCACTATGTCCTACACATTTCCCAGACTCACTATCCTTCATAGCAGAAGTTGATTAATGGCCCTGCACACTTGGAGCACAGTAGCTCCCACGGTTGATATACCTACTCCAAATTGATTGCTCACTGACCAGTAACTGTCTGGCGTTGCACTCATCCAAATAGCGATCGCCACTCACTTCTCCACTGTCAGAGCAGCTCTCGTTTTTGTGTTGCTGATCTGCAGGGCAGGGGAAAGCTCTGAACAACGTTCCTGAAAGGTGGCCTTCCACATTCGAAAGTTCTGCAGCCTCTACTCGTCATCCCATAGCTGCAAAATGATGCAGTCTCACCAGTCAGTGCTTGTTTCATGGGATCAGAAATGGCTCTCAACAGAGTGCAGCTGCTTGTTCTGTGACTGCCAGCAGCAACTGTGAATTATTTTTTTTCAATGGCTTGCAGCAGGGCTGCTTGCAGGACATGGCTTTGTTCCGCGCGACGGACCCTACTTCAGTTCTGGAAATACTGCAGGAGAAGGTGCAAGGTGTTTGAGATGCTCACAGCAAGAGTGCACAACTGAGCAGGCTCCATGCTTCTGGGGTTATGGCGTATGCGTGGAGGTTTTAAGGCACGAAAACCACTGGGTTGTTTGCCGTTGATATGAGGGAGGGAGCACAGTGCATCATGGGATGTTGACGCAATGTTCCCATTCTCTCCTGCGACAATGTTTTGGTCCCATGAGGCATTGCACAAACTTCCCAAAATACACTGCGGCAAGTTGCACTTTGGGATAGCTACTCACGATGCACTGCTAGTGAGGACACACTCCAGTGAGATAATGACCATGGTTTGGCCACACATAATCAACTTAATTAATTCGGAGGCTCACGGTTGAATTAGATAAAGTCGACTTAATTTTGTAGTATAGACAGGCCCTAAGATAAACCAGACAAAGGGGTTGTTAGTGGGGAATTGCAATGTCCATATGGAGAGTTAGTTCAGAATAAATATTGTGTTTTAAATTCACACCCTAACTTCCACATAGAAAAAGCCCTGAGGGGAACAATGAATGTGGAAGATAAAACAGGTTGAGGCTATGGATGAGGAAAAAAGTAGCAAAAGCCCATCTCTACCAGAAGTTAACAAAGTTATAACACTGTAGATTATGTTTAAGAAAAGTGGTTATGTTGCAGGGATCTGGTAGATTTGCTCTTGGGAAGCAAAAAGTGAATTATTAATCAAAATGAATTTCCATTGGAACTGCGGTTGCTCATTAGAATTAAAAGTATAATATTGGTATAATATTGAATGCATCCTTTATGAGGGGATTTCTGCTGCATGCTTACAGTGGGATGGACTACATACTAAGGCCTTGGCTACACTTACCCGCTAGTTCGGCGGCTGGCAATCGAACTTCTGGGTTCGACTTATCGCATCTAGTCTGGACGCGATAAGTCGAACCCAGAAGTGCTTGCTGTCGACTGTGGTACTCCAGCTCGGCGAGAGGAGTACCGCGGAGTCGATGGGGGAGCCTGCCTGCCGAGTGTGGACCAAGGTAAGTTCGAACTAAGGTACTTCGAACTTCAGCTACGTTATTCACGTAGCTGAAGTTGCGTACCTTAGTTCGAATTAGGGGGGTAGTGTAGACCTGGCCTAAGTCTCTTCTAGCCTACAATCCTAAAAGTCTTCAGTGAGACTATTGTATCTGTTGCTTTCTATTCAGATGTTTTGGGGTTTTTGTTTTGCCGATGATGATGATTCAGTGTTTATTATTTGTTTTCTTTCCTTTGTCTTTAGGAATGTCTGAAAGTCAAGGGACAAACAGTGGAAGCCACACCAGCAAGATTGGTTCCAACAGTGGTAGCTCTGCTGTGTGCTTTGGACAGGTCAGTCTCTCTCCATCTAGAACAGAGCTGGAAGTCGTCTTCTTGCACATCAGGAAATCTCACAAAGCACTTAATTGTTTTTAATGCAGGATGCTAGTTGTATGTTAAAATCATACCTCACCATGATAATCTACATCCTCATTACATTTTCCCCTGCTGGTGGCAGAGCTGTCTCTCCAACACTAATAGCTTTTATCTGAATTACTCAGAGAAAGGGCCTTGAATTATTTTTTAAAAGGACAGAAAGAATGTTTTCCTTTCTCTGATGGATTGGACTGTGTTGTGGAGTAGGTACACTCTCCATTATGGGGCAGTGGGTTGTGGGAGGGATCAAAGCAGAGATTTTAGCAGTCTAAGTGGCTTGGCCTCCCACATCGCCACAGCTGCCTGGCCCCTAGTGTAGCGTGGCCCAATGGCCAGAGTCCACAAGGCTATTCTTTTGTTCAGGGCTGCTCGACCTCATGGCCCAAGTCTTTCTAGCAGCCCTGTAGCTCAGAGCAATATGGCCCAATGGCTAAAGTCAGTAGGGCAGGCCTTCTGCTGCGCAGTTCGGCCCTCTGGGCATCAGCTGCCCCACTGGTGGGGCAGCCAGGATAGGAGGACCCACGCCCACCCTGTTGCACCAGGTCCCAACCCAGGACTAGGAAACAGTGCTTCCACAATCAGTCTTGGTCACCCAGTACCTTAGTCCTGATCCCTGGGTTGCGTCCTACCCTTCCTTCCAAGTCTGGTAGTCTTATGGCCTCCATTGTCTCTCCTCTATCGGCAGCGGTGGTCAGCTGGGGGTCCGTTGGAGCCTGAGCCCAACTTGCTTCCAGATCTTGGTTGTGCGGCTATAATATTTGGTTCATTGGTCACTGAAAGGTGGCTGCGGCTCCATGCAGCCCAAACGGCATCATGACAAATTGATATAAGCCAAACGGGGTAGGGAAGGCAGTCTTCTCAAAGGAGGCCAGTGTCAGGGGTATCTGCCAATCCCCCTTAGTTATATGTGATGTTGAGGTGAACTAAGCACTACCCAGACGCTCGAGGAGCTCATCTACCCGAAGCATTGGGTAGGTGTAGAACCAGGAGATAGCGTTAACTTTCCTGAAATCAATACAAAATCTGATGGCCCCAATAGGCTTTGAGACCAGTACTATCTGATTCCGCCACTCTCTCTGAGTTTCCTCTACCAGCCTTAGGGACAGCTTGGTTTCCAGTTCTTTTTGGATGGCTCCCTCTATCCTCTTAAGGAGCGGTCGGTGGTTGTTTCGTACCTTCTGACCCAGGAAGGTCGGTCAGTCACCTTGTGTCAGGAGTGGTTGTGGTGGCCGGTGGCCTGGGTTGGTGGAGGGGGCTCCTACATTGGCCTTGTGTGGTCCCCGCTTGGCTGGATGACCTCGGTTTCCTGGGCTCCCTGGTCTATGGGCTTTGCTGCTCTGACCCTCAACGGTCATGTAGTCTTCCAATAAGAAGACAAATTCAGCAAGGGTTGCCGGGCAGTGCCGTTGCACCCATTCCTTCCCATGGCGCGTAGGATTTGGGTAAACTGCTCCAGTGCCACCGTCTCCACCACTTGAACTCTGATCCATTTCTCTGATTCCAGCCATCACCAGCAGTAGTCCCAGGAGTTGCTGGGCTGCGGCCTGGCCTTGGGCAGGTACTATTGCACAGAGTCGTTGGCGGTACATCTCAGCACTGACATCAGCCTGATCCAGGATGGCTGCCTTCACTTTGTTGTATCCCAATGCCTCATGGGGGTGTAAGTTCCGGTAGGCGGTCTGGGCTGGGCCAGTTAAGTACGGTGCCAAGAGGGTAGCCCACTGTACTGGTGGCCACTGGGCCTGACTACCCGTTTGAATGGCACAAAGACCACCTCAGGGTCATCACTGGGCCCCGTCTTAGTCACACAAACTGGCAGTCCCACCAAAACAGTCCTCACCTCTGGTCCCATTGGTGCACTTGGTGTTGGGTGGCCAGTTCCTACACCATCTGGCACTGCTGCTCCTACTGTTGCACCATTAGGAGCTGCTGCTGTGATCTGCTGTAGCAGCTGGTCTGGTGTTGCTTCTTGTTGTGCCGCCTGCTGCTGCTGACTCTCCAGCAACCACTTCAAAATCCCAAGTGGCCTGGCCTCCTGTGTTGCCACAGCTGCCCCAGCCCCAGGGCAGCACCGCCTAGTGGCCAGAGTCAATGCAGCCGCCCTTCAGTGCAGGACAGTGCAGCCCAGTGGCCAGAGTCCATAAGGCTGTCCTATTGTTCAGGGCAGTTTGGCCTAATGGCCCAAGTCTATCTAGCAGGCCTGTAGCTCAGGGCAGTATGGCCCAATGGCTACGGTCAGTAGTGCAGTTCACACCAGCGGGGCAGCTGGAGTAGGGGGACCCAGGCCCATCCAGCTCCACTGGTCCCAACCCAGGACCCTAGGGAACCAGTACTTCCACGGTCAGTCTTGGTCACCCAGACCTCAGTCCCAATCCCTGGGTCACTTCCTACCCTTCCAAGGTTGGTAGTCTCATGGCCTCCCCGTCTGTTCTCCAGTAGCGGCAATGGCCAGCTGGGGGTCCATTGGAGCCTCAGTCCGACTGGCTTCTGGGTCCTGGAGCTCCAGCAGTCTCCCTTTAGGAAGCCTGCAACACACATCTGCTCTCATCAATGGCCAGCCCAGATTGAGCTACTCCCTTTTATACTCTGGTTCATCTGAAGCATACCCAGCAGGTGCATGGAGGTGTGGCTTCCTCAGCCCACAGTGTGAGGTTAACCCTTTCTGAACCAGTGCAGGGTAGGTACACCCCATCACAGACTGGTTTATCTTAATGGTGGATGACATGCCCCAGGCTTACTTATAAAAACATGCATTCTCCTCTATTGGTGGAGAGAAGGTAGCTGTTTTCACTCCGCCATTGGAAGAAACCAATAGACAGAGTTTGCCTTTGGCCTTGCATTGTGAATTCTCCTCTCCATGCCATTATTTCTTCAGTTAGCTGATGAATATGATGTCTTTGTATGTTTGTACACAATGCTCTCTTTCTCTTTTGCCTGATGGTATATATTTCTGTATAACTGCCAGAAAAAAAATGGACAGTTATTCCTAAAAAAAGTTAAATGGAACAATACATTGAAATCTAAATGTTAAAACCTCATGATTGTGCATTAGAAATTTTTTGTTTAAGTTTCATGCTGTTTGCTTGAATTATATTGCCTGGCAGGATGGGAGTTGGCACAGCTCTGAGGATCTCTTAAAATTCCACTGTTTTGCAGGTGAATAGAGCGGCAAGATAGAGGATTAAGCAAAATTCCCTTTGGAGAAGGCCAGCTCCGTTCCTTAGTTAGGGTGAAGGGTGGTGCTGTTGAGTAGAAAAAGACATCCACACTACTATTCAGACAGGAGCTGGAATTGAACTCCGTTCTCCCCCCACACACAGATATCCGTGCAGAACAGGAACACTCACTCCACATTCATGAAGACATACTTAAGCCTATCTGTATCTGTTGCAGAGTGTGTATAGATTCTAACTAACATTTCTACCAGTGCAATAAGTAGTGACACCTAGTTGATCTTCTGACTAATATGAGTGGTGCTGATAGCAGGAATCCCTATGTTTCATGCCCCTGCAGCCTGGACTGGACTTTGCACATGTTACAAGTGCTGTAGGATTTCATAGGGATGGGAGCAAGGGTATTCTTTCAGATTGGTGTGCTTGGCTGAGTTCTATCACTTTGTAATTGGTATGTTTGCTGCTTGGGAGAATTGGAGAAAAGTTGTACAGAATTTAACAAAGATCATTGATCCATCTAATCTAGTTCCTTGCAAGAGCAAGCAATATCACCAGCATAATACACCTACCCCATGGAGCAAAGTAACTTCCTTCCTGAGCCCTTTGACTATCCTTTACATCCTGAAGCATGAGAGTTGAATACTCATCTTCTCCTGGAAGATTGGAATAAAGAAAATGGGATGAGAAAGGTGTGGGGGAGGTAATAGAGTGAAGAAACTAAAGCTGTCTGACTCTGCTATGCTTCTATTAAAGAACCAGTATACAGCAGATGAATACCAGGCCATTCAGAATGCCCTGCGTCAGAGGCTGGGTCCGGAGTACATCAGCAGCCGGCAGGCTGGTGGAGGACAGAAGGTACAAATAAGTGTGTATGCAGAAACTTTGTGGGTGGGGAGTGGGAGAGAGAGAATTCTTCACTATAAGAAACTGTCCCTTGCTCAGCCACTGATTTCTTGACACCTTTGGCAAGTCACTTAACTTTCTCCTTCAGTTTCTTCATCCTTTAAATGGAAATAATATTTACCTACTTCATAGGATGTTGGGTGGTATTAATTAATTGGTCAGTACTTTGAACATGTAAATCACTATATAAATGCTACATATTGTGTATAAATTATTTGGGGTTTTTTCCCCCTTTCTTTTGTGTTCACTAAATCTGCCTCTCTCAGTTGTGCCATCTTCTTCTGGAGATTGGGCTTGGAAGGGACCAGCTCTTTTTTTCTTTGTTTGCACACAGGCAAATGTTTCTTGAAATTAACAGGGTTTCTTAGTGTGGTACAGCTATGACTGTAAAGGACTTTTTAAAATTCACTATTCCTCTTTTCAGGTTTGTTATATTGAGGGTCACAGGGTCATCAGTCTGGCCAATGAAATGTTTGGCTATAATGGCTGGGCTCATTCAGTCACTCAGCAGAATGTTGGTGAGTATCTTTTTCCAGGCTCTGAGAATTTGTGTTCCTGTTGCTTCATACTTAGGGTCTGTAAAGTGGCAGAATGTGGTCCCTGTTTGAGAAACCATCTTTCCTGGAACTTGTTCAGCTGAAACAGCAGGAAACATGTCTTTAAAGTGACAATCCCTGTAAAAGACGCAGATGAAATTTTGGAGCCTACAGGCTCCTTGACAGTTAGGAGAAAGCAAAATCTGTCCTGCGTGTAAAGAAAACCCTGTTTATGTTCAGTAGTTCAACTTTGTGTAATGGCACTTCTGAGTTACTGAAAATGAGTTTATTCAGCCAAGTGGGGACGACTGGGCCAAAGCATTGCATCGGGACTCTTCCATCTGCTTAACCCTAGCAGCCCCGAGCAGTGTTCCCTCTAACTTTTCCCACGCATGTGCAGAATGAATTTTATGTGCACCAATATGGAGGTGATGTGTGACACATCACCTCCATATTGACACACACAACAAAATTCATGTGGCCGGGGTTGAGCCAAGGGGTTCAGAGTGTGGGAGGGGGCTCAGAGCTGGTGCAGAGGACTGGAGTGTGGGGGCATGAGGACTGGGGGTGCGGGCTCTGGGGTGGGGCCAAGGATGAGGGGCTCAGGGCTGGGGCAAAGGGTTGGGGTAGGGATGGGGAGGGCTCTGGCTGGGGGTATGGGCTCTGGGCTGTGGATGAGGAGTTTGGGGTGCAGGTTGTCCCGGGTCTACAGCAGGGAGAGAGGACTCCCCCCAGCTCTCTCTCTTCCCACAGCAGCACCTGGGCTCGAGGGAGAGGCATCTCTCCCCGCCACAGCCCTGAGTGCTTATGCGGCACTTAATAGGCTGCTGTGCGGCTGCGCAGCTTAGAGGGAACTTAGGCCCTAAGTCAACTGTCAACCACGTGCAACTGCTACCCGCAAACAAACATCTCAACTTATGCATCCCCCCACTTCAGCTATGGAACTTCCTGCAAAATACCTCCTTGTGACCAGCATCCAGGTCCTGAGACACTCTTCGGGTAATTGCTCATATGTGTCCCCATATTTGGGATATCTGTAGCCAGGTACACAAACTCAAAGTTTTGGCTAACAGTGCCTCTTTGAGCCATGCACACACTCCTTGATGCTGTGCATTGTGCAGATGGCAGAAAGGAGACCAATCCTAACTGCCCTGAGTTTTTTCTGAACACTGCAGGAGCAGCAAGTTGAAACACTGCGGTATCCCCAGTACTTTCTTCAGTCTATTCTCCTTTGAGTTTGTTAGGGTGCCCTTAGCTTTCAGTTAAGTTTGCACTCTTAATTGTTAGGAGGCACTATTGCAGCTTTGTTTGGGACCAAACTCCATTGGCCCTGACCCCTATGTTCTTAGGTTCTGGTCAATGTTACATGGTTCAGGCCTAGTGGTCTCTCTTCATTTACCATTCATGTTGTGGCTGTTGCCAGTAAAAAGACTAGTTGTAGTCTCTCTGCATTGTGCGGTGTGACAATGGTGACCATGAAGAGTGCTTTTAAGTGCCTTAATAAAGGACAAAATCCATATTGATGCTTGGTCTGCATCATTTTCACCCCTCACACTAGAAAGAAGAAGGAGGGCCACCTCAAACTTCATCTGTTGGAGAAGACACTTGAGGTTCATACAACAAAGTGCAGTACTAAAAGATCAGCACATTCACTTTGAGAGTCTAAGTCTGGTGCAGGGATTACTGTGAGAAGCTCCTAAACTGCACCAGCATTTCAGCCTGGTGATTAGAAGGTTGGTGCTGGCTTCCTCACTAATGAATTCTGATAAGAAAGCCGGAGAGTTACAAAGATCTGAGAAGCACATTTTTAGAACAGTGTCAGTCTAGTGGATCCTCAACATTTAAGGGACTGACAGCCTGCTGGCGCTAGATGTTTCTCATGACATTGAAATAGAGTGGGACCCTTTCGTGTCACTCCATACTTTGCTACACAGTGTCACTTGTTATGGTTCAGTATCAACAGATCCCAAGAGAAAGAATAGTTACTCAACCGTCCCTACAGTAACTGTGGTTTTTCGAGATGTGCTGTCCACATAGATTCCACCCTTGTACATGAGATTGTATTAGTTGGGCCAGTGGTGTCCATTGAGGCCATGTTAGGGGCCCTCATGCCTCCCACCAAAGGACATAAAGGATGGAGCGGGCCCAACTGCCCTTCAGTTTCTTCATCAGTACAGAATCCTATAGGTATGCGAATGAAGTAGCAGGGAGGCAGTGTGGGTTGTGTAATCTGTATAGACAACACATCTTGAAAAAACGCTGTTACTATAGCACAAGGAACCATGCGTTGTTTGTCAATTGTCTGCATGGATTCCACTCAGAGTGACTAACAAGAATTTTTCTGTTTCCTTTGAGGCGGGTATTAAGAGGCCTACGTGAATAGTCTCTGCAGGACAGTCCTACGAAAACTGGCATCCAACCTGCCAGCCTGTACTAGGGAATAGTGACTAATATGTGGATTGAGCTCCATGTAGCTGCTTTACATGTTTCAGATATGGGAGCCTTCCCAATATGACTGAGTGGATCTTTCCTACCCTTACTCACAACAGGTTCTTAGGTACTCGGAAATGCATTCAGATAATATCTGTATGAATATAGATTGCCACTTAACCCTGTCAGAAAGATGCCAGAAATACCCTGGGTGTGTTCCTGAATGATCTTGTTCTGCCTAGATAAAATGACAATATTCTCTTTACATTGAGTGTGTGAATCTTCTCCTCACTCAGGGTAGAGTGAAGTTTAGGAAAGAAAACCTAGAGATGAATGGACTGGTTTATGTGGAACTATGAGGGGACTTCGGATGAGGCCTCAGAGTAACTGGTACACTGTACACAGGGGGCCTTAATCTCTCCTATCTGATGTAATGGCCACAAGAAACGCACTACTCATTGACATGTGGTAACGGGAGCAGGTTGCTAAGGACTCAAAAGGGGAACCGTCTACTTTGCTAGTACTATATTAAGGTCTCAGGAACAAGGGAGCTTCCCAGTGGGTGAAAAATATGCATGAGTCACTACAGGATTGGAAACTGTATGGCCCTAGATAGAATAGTGATGTTGAGATATTCATAAAAATGGTAGAAATGCAGGGCTGGAAGGAATGTCAAGAAGGCTTCTAGTCCATCTCCCCACACTGAGGCAAGATCAGATATACCTAGACCGTCCCTGAGAGGCTTTTGCCTAACCCTGTTCTTAAAACTTCCAATCACAGGGATTCCACAACCACCTTGGGTAAACTATCCTTATAGTTAGAAAGTTGAGTGTATTGAGATCTGAAAATAAGCATCTTGCAAATCAAGACCCGTGAACCAATCTATAGCATCAAATGAACTTAACTAACTCTAAACTAAATTGTAATGATCTAAGGTGAATCAAACAGTATGCAGGTGAGACCATATCTCTTAGGGAGAGATGCTGGGGAGTGACCAGCCAATCAGAATAGAGAAACTTGGTATTTCTTCAGTGGTATTGATTTTTCTGATAGCTAGTTGCCTGAGAAGGGTTTTAAAACTCCCCCCCCCCCCCCAACCCTCACAGCAGGTACTTTTGCAAATAAGTTTTTTTAGGTGGTTCACATTTAGGGCATGTCTATACTATGGGCACTATAGCGGCAAAGGTGCGGCACTGCAACTATGCCTCTATAGGGCCGTCGCACAGATGCTTCCTATGTCATTTGAAGGGGTTTTTCTGTTGCTGTTGGTAATCCATCTCTCAGGCATCAGTAGACAGATGAATTCTTCTGTCAACCTAGCCATGTGTACACTGGGGGTGTAACTATGGCGCACAGGGCACGGTAGGTAGGTCGATCTAAATTTTATGCGTAGACCAGGGCTTAGTGTTTAAGCTTTCTAGGAAGATGAACATGAGACAGAAATTTCATCCTGTGATATACTGTTTGGGTCTCCATTGTAACTCCATCTCCTTCCTGCTCTCCCCAGATTTCGTTGATCTCAACAATGGCAAATTCTATGTGGGAGTTTGTGCATTTGTGAAAGTCCAACTCAAGGTAAACTGATGTATTTTTGTTTGCTCCATTTGTTAGTGAACTGCTAGTTACTTAAGAACCATGAATGACAGTACTAGTGTGTGTGGAGCTGGACTGCAACACACCATGTTACTGTGTCAAACCAGACAGTCCTGTGGGCCCCTGGAAAGCTGAGCTTACTACAGAGTAAATACAAGTCCACTCAATACACACAATCCACATAAGAGATATATAGTCAGATGTGTGAAAGCAAAAGTTCCAACAGTACTGCATTTTTTTAACTCACCCCATAGGATGGGTCGTACCATGAAGATGTGGGTTACGGAGTGAGTGAAGGCCTGAAATCTAAGGCATTGTCCCTAGAAAAGGCAAGGAAAGAAGCAGTGACAGATGGACTGAAGAGGGCACTCAAGTAAGTGGAGAACCAGTACGTTGCCCTTCTGCTTGCACAGAATAAAATGTTAAATTCTCAGTCATGGCAGGCTCTCTTGTCCCTCAGGTGCTTTGGAAATGCTCTTGGGAACTGCATCCTGGACAAAGACTACCTGCGATCAGTGAATAAACTTCCTCGTCAGGTGCGATATGAGGGGCTTTGGAGAAAGCAGAATAATTTAGATTGCCAGGAACAGTTAGTAGGTCATTTTTCCATCCCCCTGTATTGACAGGGATGGAAACCATTATATCTAAACCATACTTGCTAGCTGTGTGTGTGAATGTGTCCAGCCATTAATGTGTCAGTGACAATGATTCCACAGCCTCCGTTGGCTGCTAGTTAGTTTGTCTGAACTGTTCTTTGTAAAAGATTTTCCCAATAGTTCATCAAAATAATGCCATTCTGATGCTTAAGCCCATTGCTGTTTCGCTCTCTCCATTTGTCTTGTTTACTCTGTTCTAGTCAGGTTGTCATACCATTCCCATCAAATGGTACCCGAGCACCAGACCATTCTGTATCATTACCAGTAGTGGGTCCAGCTACACCCTTGCTGATAATAATTTAAATACTAGTGTAGACAAGGATGAACTATTTCCAGGCCCATATCAAACCAAGTTACTCAAACCACTGTACTGTGCTTCGTACAGTAGAGCTTCTTTTACACTAGAAATTTTTCATATAGTAGCCTGCAGCTACTGTCCCTAGTCCACCTTCACCATCTGTAGGCGACAGTAGGAACTCTAGTCTAAATAAAGTGCTGGCAGCCACTGCTTTTCCCTTACACAGCTGTCGAAAGCTTCAGCTCTCCCCAACAGCTTGCAAAATACCAGTGCAGAAATCTTCAGCCTCCAGAGAACTGAAAACTTAGGGGCTAAGAAAAATAAACTGAATGTAACACTGTACTGGTCTCCTGTACTGATTGTATTATTCATTTTTATATTTACCATAATAAAACCCCTCCAGTTTTTGATCTATTTGAAGGTACCATACAATTTCCAGTATACTGTAGAAATGAGAAGGGCTTGCCACAGACTTTAGTTCTAGTTTACCAGAGTCTTGTATACAGAAGTAGAGCCCTGGGCATGCTTACCTTAGGGAAGAATCCAGGAGGAGCAGCCATCAGTACCTGTTGGAGGGTGCCATATTGGAATCAAGTGGGTGGACTTGGAGGTGCTGATTTATAATCTCACTCAGTACCACGTGGTGACTGAAATGCAGTATTGCAGCTTCCTGTGGAATTAATATGGAAACTGCAAACTCCAAAATTGTACGTGGTCAGGAGGGATTTCTGCTGTCTTTTGATTGGCCTATCAAAACCAGCCAACCTTAAGACAGAGACAGCTAGAGAAACATCATTTTAATGTTTAAAACCAAAAATACATGATGAAAGAGTTGGAGGGGGAACTGATTGGTTGAAGCCAATGAGCCATGGCCCTACAAATTTAGTCTTCAGTCCTTAAGCAAAGTATTTGAGGCCAGAGTTCTACTAAACTTTGTGCTTCATTATGAGATGAGGCCTTTGTACTCCTTATATAAGCACCCCTTTAACTACAGTCTTTTATCTTTTTCCCCAGATTCTGAACATGCCCAGGGCTCAATCTTTTCTCAGACTGATACTTTCCAGACCTTTTATAGTTGCTGTTGCTCGCTTCAGGGCACTCTCTGGTTTGTCTCTTGGGTGGTACCCAAAGCTAGACATAAGCTTTTTGACTTAACCAAGGTTAAACCCTGAAGAAGAATATCTTTATTTTTTTACATGGAATATGGTATTTCCCTTTTTAGTGGCACATCCGCTATAACCCTTAATGCCGTCTCAGCATCCCCACCCATCTGTTATTTCTTCACTACTATTATGTAAGAATTTCTAAGGTATCCATCACCATAGGTAATAGCTGTATGTTGAATCGGTTACACTTTCTGTAATGAATATGAATTATTAGAATGTGATTCACATGTGAAATCTGTTTATTGCTGGAACAGTTTTCATTAGAATAAATCCCTTTGTGGCTTTTCAGTTAAAGGCGGCTATTTGCCATGGTTAACAGTGGTTCAGGGATATGTATGGTAATTGCTCAAAGCTAGTGTCAGTAGCACATGGCCATCTTCTTAGATTTCTGCACTTACAAGTCCAGGCTGGGGGGTACAGTGTCTCCCTCTGTAGCTCTGTCTAGCTTCCCGCCCCAACAGTGTGCTCAGTTAAAGGGTGGGGTGTATTTTTCCACTCCTGGGTTGGAGGGTGAAGACAGTTCTCTGGCCAGATCTAATACAGGTCTGTGCACACATTTATGAAGTTAACATTATTGTAATAGCTGGTGTTTACTACCTTGCCTGCTTACATACCATGGGGATTGTCTGGATTCTACTACTTTTATATTTTAAAATTCTGTTGTGTGTGTGTGATAGCTAGCACTGCCTCTATACAAGCACTGTGCTGACACTGCTAATGATGGTGCTCTGCAAACGCTCACATTAACTCCCTTCAGACTACAGAACCCAAACAGTGCTTGGCAAGTGGGAAGGGACAATACCTGCCTAAACTAGTTTAAGAACAGCTAGAGAGGGAGAGACAAAACATGAAATGTTACAGAGACTCAAAGCATCTTCTAACTTTTGAGTTGATGAGGGAGGGGGAATTGAATCATAATCCATTGACCATTCTTATACTAGCTGCCTCCTGAGTTGGATTTGGCCAAAGCAAAAAGGCAAGACTTTGAGCCCGCAATAGAGAAGGCTAGATACAGTAGCTGTCTGCAGAAGCAGAGTGCAGGGCAACCCCAGCACTGTGAGAGCCTGTCCCCACGCAAACCTGAACAGGAGGTGACTTCCTTAAGCACAGCTGAGCAGGAGCAGCAAAACAGCTCCAGGTGAGTGTTAACCTGAGAATATATTTTTAGTTTATTATTTATATTGTACAATAAATGAGCAGCCAGCGCATGTTCTAATCACTCTTGGCACTTAAAATGTACAGACTCCCCCAATCACTCCCAAAATCCCACCTCCCTGGAGCTGCAGGAGCATGTACGAGTCACCTTGAGGAGCCCCCCGAGTCAGTGAGCTTGGGGCTGGTTCTCGCCTTAATTCAGACAATACCAACTCTATATTTGATCTATAGCTATTATACCATACATTTCTCCAGGGACTAGCAGAAGGCTTTTAGGGGGCGTTCAGGCATAAGGGAGTGCTGCATTACAAGGTGCATAGCACAGGCTCTCTAAGCTAGAGAGTACGAGTCCAGCAGCAGGCACTGGGAGAACCCGGAGCGTCCAAGGCTGTTACATCTCTACTTCTGCCTGCACATGGCCATACAAGGTGTCTAATAATCACCTACACATGCAATATTTGCATTGGACTGAGCTCCTCAAAGTGCAGAGCCTAGTATAAGCTGTGATAAACCTTCTCATACCTCATTCAAATCAGTTTCTGCTACTGGAGTAAGGGATAGGTTTGTGTAAATGATTCAGACAGGAGAGCTGGGTTCTAGCCAGAAACTGCCTGTATGAACTTGGACAGAGCCTCATTGTGCCTTAGTTTATCCCTCTAAGCACCTCTGAAGTTGTAAATAGTTAATACTTGTAAAGCATGTTGGGATTTGGGGGGCCCTTTCGTTGGAAGGTGTGATAGAAGCATTAACTACTATTGTATTTTCCCTGGCGTGCTATTGCTATAAGCATCCCTCTTCCTAAGGTGTAAGTGTAGCTGGAGCGCCATCCAACTGTGTGTTTATTTCTTGGGACAGACATAACATCACCTTAGTCTGTGGGAGTGATGCTACTTACCAGCGGAAGTTACGACAGAAGCAGCTTCAGCAGCAGTTCCGGGAGCAAATGGAGAAAAAACAGCTGGCAGTAGCCAATCCAGTCAGCAAACAGAGTAAGAGACACCACTGCGAATCTGCAAGTCCAACAACCTAGACTATGTCTACACTACAGACATTACTGCAGCTGCGCCGCTCTAAGGTCTCCTATGTACCTGGTGTATGCTGATGGGAGAGAGCTATTCCCTGGGCATAATTAAACCACCCCCAATGAGCAAGGGTAGCTATGTTGGCCAGAGACCATCTCTGGCCCACATAGCACGCTCCATGCTGGCAATTCTGTTGGTATAACTTACGTCTGGCAGGGGTGTGGGTTTTCTCATCTCCTGACTGACAAAGGTACTAGTGTAGACATAACACCCCCCCCACCTGTGAATTAGGCTACGTGCAGGGCACAAGCGTGGCTGACAGGGTTAACCCCTCATCAGCTGCCTACTTTTACCACCTCTTGTCTGAGCGAAGGAAGCTATAAAAAAGGAAGTCTGAAGTTTTTAATACTTGTTCCCTATAGGGCAGGGATGTGGGCTCAGACTGGACATGACCAAACTTGCCCCTATGTCCTCTTAGGAAACGTTAGGCAGTGCTGCTGTAGAGCAGCAACAGGAAAGACTGGGAGAACCAAACCTCTGCTCATGCTGCAAGAAATTTCAGGATGTTTCCCTTGTCCTTAGTAAGCCTTACCAAATACCATCTCCTGCCTTACCGCTATACCGTCCTTTCCAGCAAAGGGCAAGGAGTGGCTATTGAATACCTCGTAGCTGGGATCAGGTGCTGCTGGTTTTTCTGATCTTACTTGACTCTCTTCCCTCTCTGGAGTTAGGTGGTGTCCTTTTGCATTTCTGGCACTAATAGCTCCCCTTTGTTACCTGTGCCCAGCAGCCTCTCATCCCTCACTGGTGAAACACAGCACTCCAGCAGCAGCACAACAGGAGCCAGCTGCAGAAGAGGAGTTCTTTGCAGGTCAGCAAAGAATGGTAGCTAAATGTTCAGAGGCGGAGGCAGGATTTAATGAAGGGATTGGGAAAGTGGCATGGCACCATCTTTTCTTTAGGAATAGGAAGTGGCAACACTAACCCTTAGAAGGGGGGAAAGAAATGGGCAGAGGTGTGAATTGTTTCATGACCACACACTTAAACCTCTCCTAGTGATGAAACAGCTCTTACAATTAGACATTAGAGGGTCACTAGAAGGAACCTGCCTATAGGAATCTTTTCTTGTAGGCATTAGGGTTCACACAGATTTCAGCCTTGGTGCATATAGAGGTGAGATCAGATTCTTTTCAGCAAGTAGTGTCTGTTGGCTGCACATGTATCCTTTAACCCTACACCTGAAAGCATAAAGTGCACAACAAGCCCAGCTGCCCCTCCTTCCATCTTACTGCCTGTAGCTGCAAGACAGAACCCTTAAAGTGTCTGCTTCTCTTAGGCAAGGTGATTTTTCATTTTAGTTTGAGTTAGATCAATAGGCAAAAGGAAACTTAACATCAAGCTCCTTTATAGTTTAACCCCTCTAGGGGTCAAGTGAGGAAAGGGTGGACTGGTACTGGAACTGCGCTTCCTTCTCTGGGCTGCCACACTGTTCTCTTCCCTCTTTGTTGTGTATGTCTTTGAATTGTTCCAGATGACCCTGAGCTTTGGGACATTCCCCTAGAGACCACTACTCTCAGTGATTCGGAGAGCCACAAAAAAGGAGCTGTAGCAGCCCAGGCTCCTGCAACGCCTCTTGGACACTATCACATGATGACTCGCAGCAGGACCCCTCAAACAATGAACCCTAAGAAACCACATGAGAGAGCTGCACAATGGCAGGTGTCCCCTAGGCACAGGCCTTACAGCCCCTCTTCCAACCAAGGTGCACGAGGTACGTACTGTAAAAGGAGTGTAAGTGGCTATAGTGAAGTGTAAGCAGGAGGAAGCCACGGAAGAACGGAGAGGTGATCGTGCTGAGTAGCAGTATATGAAACTGAGCAGGGAACACAATTCAGTTTGTGAACACTTCAAGCACATTCCAGCAAAATGACTAGGGAACTGTCCTAGCATGGAACTCAGTTGTGTGATTTACTCACTGAAGTAGATGGCTGTCCTCCTCCATAGACTGCTTTACACTTTCAAACCCCAGCTAGCACTTCTTTTCAATCATAGTTTTTAGGAGGGCTGTTAAGGGTAAGGGAGGGGGAGATTTTTTTGTTTTTACCAGAACCTGAACATAAGACTTAAGCTCCTTCAGGGAGACAGATCTCCCCAGAAAAGCAACTTGGCCATCCTCCATGCCCTTCTAGGTAAGAGAGAAAAAACACTGACAAAAACATAGGTAAGTTTTGGAAGTGGAGAAAAGCAGAATAATTTGCCTACTAAGGACCTGTTGTCTTATTCAGCAGAGTGCAGCCCATACAGGAAGAGCCAAGGTATGAAGAAAAGGAAACTGGAACCCTCCTAACAGACAGGACAGCACCCGAAGTGTTACTTTCCTCGTGATCATTTGAGCATTACAACCATATTTTCAGACGCACATCTCAAGAACCTGTTTAAACACAAGGAAATCTAGTGCATTAGATCCACGACTTTCATGCAATGCTAATCATTGACAATCTTCTGTCATAACTCTTTACTTACTTTAGCCCCTCATAATGTGCTTGATGTCCCCTCTTGTGGTTAAAAAGTTTGATGCATTATTTCTTCCTGAGTGAAGCAGTTGGGGAGCCTGCCCAGTGCCAGGGCCTGTTATTTTAACTCCTTCGGAATGACATGAAACGTAACTCTACTCCCTGCAGATAACTGAAGGATGCCCTACTACTTTGCATTTCATTAGAGGGAGTAGTTTCCTTTAATGTGGATAGGATTCAGTAAGATCAGATCCTGGAAAGAATTATTTGAATGGAGATTTTAGTATGTGGCTGGATGTGTTACAAAGGACTAAAATTGACTAGTTCTTTTTAGGTACTTGTGTTTTTATATTAAACTTTATCCCCTTTTCTTATGGAAAAATGTGAATAAACATGCAAAATCAGAGTATTAGTTAAAGAATCTCATTTGTAACTGTGCAAGGGGGCAGCAGCATGTTTACTTGGAAGATAAAACAGTCACCAGGGCAGGGGACATATTCCTGTTACAGTAACACCTCATGGTTTAATGCAACTCAGAGTTAACTCACTTCTGTCTTCCTGAAGAAGAAAGCAAGTCTGTACCATAACTTTACAAGTGAAACTGAAAACTCAATCCCTAACCAAGATGTCAAATCCCATTTTATAATTCTGAAATCTACAGTAATCAGAGAATCTAAAATAACTAATGTATTTAGACAGCAGTAATGTGAAGAGAGCAATACTGACAATCAGTGGCATGAGTTTACACCTCTAAGAGGTAGGCAGAAGGGACAACAAACAGCTGTAGAGCAAGGTGGTTATCACCCTCTCTCATACCTTCATTCTCACTGGAAGTGCAGCTGTGGTTACTTCTGAGCCCTTAGCACTTGACCAATAAGAGGTAAATGAAAAAGAGCAACCTTTGAGTAAGGAGGAAGACCAGGTTAAAACCAAAAATCAGTCTAGCTTAGTTAAAAGGGAAGATTACTCTCCTAAAGTGACAAGGTGTAAAAGTGATCAGATGCTTCAATTCCAGTTGAAGGGGGGGAAAGGAGTATCACTAGCCTAAATGGGATGAACTTAAAGTTCCAATCATAGTAACATTAGTGCCATATGTGAAACAGTAACTTGTCCAGCAATAATACAAGTACAGGAACAATGCTATAATAAGCCAGTGGGAGAAGAGGTTGAGCAGTCCATCTTTCTACCTCATGTCATTTATGCATATGTGAATAATTTGGACTGATTTAGTGAGTGCTTTGTGCTCCTCTGCCCCGCAGCTGCTCCCATTACACATTTCTCCTTTCAATATCTACCCATCCTCATGGTTCTCTCCCACACATACTTCCTACCTCTCAAAAGCAGTAAGTTTCCAGCAGGAAACTAGTTGTAGGAGTGAGTACAGGCAAATGTCTTCAGTGGCCCACACTTTACTGGCAGAAGCTCTCTCGCATCCAACACATCTTCCTAGAAAATTCAGCTAATTCTGGAACTCTTTGTAGTTGGCAGTATGTCTATAGAGAATTCATAAAACCTGAGTACAGCTGAAGTTGACCAGTCTTATTTAGCAGTTCACTACTACAGCCTTTCTGGGATCACCACAGCTCTGGGAGGAGAATGCCTGTGTCAACAACAAAAAAATCTCAGTATTTGACAATAGTGTGAGTTCACACACCCACACTGTTGAAATAAGACAGCACTTTTGTTAGAAAGGGAACTTGCAGAGAGCACCTGTGGGCAGTGCAAGATTAGCCAAGGAATAGTGTGGTCAACAATCGGAGTTCAACAATGTTCAGAACCTGAGTCTAAGGACCAGGCTCCTGCAACTGTGGTCTGACCCTGGCCACAATACAGGGGTACTGTTGTGATGCAGATATAGAGGGAAGTGTCCCATCTCACTGTATCACCTGTACACCCTGCTCCTCCTTAGAGGACTTTCAGTACGTATTCACAAGACTTGCACTTGCTTGATTTGAGTTCTTACACGACCACAGCTTGAGATGGTATGAATCAAAACAGAAGTCATTTTTAAAAGGAAATTCACTAATTGTTACAAATGAAGTTTTAGAAAGCCAAAAAAGCTTTCTGCAGCCAAAGCCTCTCCACAAGACAAATCTTGATTAACAGTGCCTCTTCTGGATCAAATCACTGAAATGCCCCCTAAATCAGGGCCTCAAGGAGGACTGCAGTGAGACACAGAATGAGTGAGCATATTGTCAGTTTAGCCCCTCAACTCCAGTACCCCCTCCTAGCTCCCACAATGGCTCCTTGAAGAGAGCCCTGAACAAACAAACAAACAAACAAAAAAACCATCTGCCTTTTGGCAATAGCCAGAAGTCTTTGGTATAGAATCATTCTGGGCTCTGTTCCAGTAGGTTTCCTCTCTCGCCATTGCTGAGAAGGATGGGGATGGGGCACAGCAACAGAGAAAGAAGAGCAAAACTAACTGCAGAAAGGAGATTTTTCAGATTCATAGACTTTAAGGTCAAAAGGGATCATAATATAGTCTGACCGCCTGCACATTGCAGGCCACAGAACCTCACCCACCCACTCCTATAATAGACCTCTAACCAAATTACTGAAGTCCACAAATCCTGGTTTAAAAGACTTCAAGTTACAGAGAATCCACCATTTGCACTAGTTTAAACCTGCAAGTGACCCATGCCCCATGCTGCAGAGGAAGGCAAAAAACCCCTCAGGGTCTCTGCCAGTCTGACCCAGGAGAAAATTCCTTCCTGACCCCAAATTTGGTGGATCAGTTTGTCTTTCCCACATGCTTAGGGTCTAACCTCTTTTCAGCAGATACAGACTCCTCTTTGGTACAGAAATGCCAAGAGGCAGCATAAAACCTTTAGAAATTAGCTAGTATCCAATTTACAGTAAACTGGGAAACTTGCCAGTTCTCAAAAAAGTTATGAATGAGTATAACCTAAGAAAACAACACCAGGAGAGAGATTCTCATTGCTGCATGTCAAAAAAAATGAATTAGCCTTTGCCTCCCTCAAAGTGGACTCAGGTGTTGTGGAAATTATTTTCTGTATCTACTTATTGTCCCTTCTTGTTCCATACCACTTGGAGAGTCTTTGGTCTGTTAAAGGGCAGATAGTATTGTTACTGATCACTGCTTTTGAGAGGTTTAGGGTCTCAGAGTGGGTTTTAGTATTTTCCTGTGGCGAGGTAACAGGAGCCCATCTGCAGTTAAATACTCCAGGTGACAGGAGAAAGGAGAAGTGGGAACCAGCTGAAAATGAAAACCCACAGTTCAACAAAAGCAGGTTTGGTTTATTTGAATGATTTCATTAAATATTCTACAAAGGTAACAAACTGCAGCACAAAGCGCAATCGTACAAGAAGCGCAATGCCTGGATTTAGTGCAAAACATACAATTAACTACGGCCACGGAAGCCCAAAGTTTGAATTCATTTTATTTGTGTGTATTTTTGTTTTTTACAGTGTACATCGTTAAATAATGTAAAGAAAACATTTGTAATTCAGAAACAGATTTTATGTGGAAAAAAGGTACTCAAAGTGTAATATTAACACAAAATAATTTAACAGTTCAGTAGCATTAGTTTATTCCTCTAGACTTCAGTTATTTCATCCACAGGAGGGAAATCAATGGTAAATAAAACCAGTTCTTGCATAACGTTAAGTGAAAAACCGACCTCAAACTTATTAAATCAAAATAATTAAATAACCATGTGCTGCATTCAGCTGATCAGTTCTTCTGCCACGAAGTGTTGCCCCACTCCTGTTACTGCTTCAGCCGTATAATTACTCCATTACACAGAGCATTGTTTTCCCTACCCATACTTGGTGTATTCAGGAGCCTCCTCTCCAGTCATTTTAACCAGAAAGCAGAGGTTTTCTGATTAATTTTACCAGCAGACATTTTCTCTTCCTCTTCCAACCACACATACACAATGGTGAGACCTTTTATCTCGTTCTGTGGTTCTACAGCGCCTGTGTTATTTACCAAGAATTAAAATAAAAAAAATCTACTGAGAAACTGTTAGAACCCAACCCCCTTGCCACTAGCCTCCACCCACAGACTCTTCATTTCCAACCTATATATGCCAGTGGTATCCTGGCTGACAAAGCTGCTGTAAACATCAAAACCAGGTGAAGGGAAAGAAACAGATCCTGTGCGTTTGTTTTCAGAGATAAGAGCAAAACATCCACAGAAAGTATAAACTCCCTAGTTAGACCCCCCCACAAGGGAGCAGTGCTCACAGAAAATTCGTGTGAGTAAGATTTCCTTGGTGCAGAGACTTCCAGGACACCACTGAGCTACTCCCAAGTACCAGGAAGCAGTACTTTGACCCTTCACAGCTTGTTGCAGCACTACAGAGTAATACTGGTTGGTTGCAGTATTATTACATTGAACAGGGAACCAGTATTTTTCAGTATGAAAAAGGGAAAATGAGTTGAGAAGTAGAAGGTACAATACAGCTACTAAAAGATGGCACAGTTAGTTATGGTCCTGGTACCAGTTTGAATTCTTTAGAGTGAACAAAATCATAAGTCCTCTGCATGCTTAAAACAGGGAATTCCTTGATGCCGGCTGTTTCGAGTGCATCCATTGCCGGCAATGGACATCGCACCAGGAAAGTCTACTCCTAGCACGAATGGATACAAAAAAAAAAAAAAAAAAGGTAAGAAAAGCAATCCCAGCAGATAACTCCATCCCCCTAAGGGTAATGGCTCCACCTCCATACACACCCTCACCTAGCCACTTTCCAGATCACAGCTTAATAGTCAAAACACTTTTAAAGTTGAACTTCTCCAAAATATGCACTTTCTTCCCATCCTCTGTTCTGATCCAGCCCTCTTAAGGCTCTAGGCAGTATTTGTTAGTTTCATTTCAGGTTCCTCTTCCCCCTCCATCACTTCTGCCTATCACCCCTTGTTACACTAGCACTGTGCCATCAACTTCTTACTCTGTCAACATGGACAGGTTTCCCCATCACCCAAAGCTCTGTTCCAACCTACAGCCTCAATGGCTCTCCCTCCTTCCAACACCTACCCTATCGAAGTTACAGTAGGACTATATATAGTCTATATATATAGTTAACCCTTTGGTATCTCAGTCACTAGGTACAAAATAGTCCATTCTTCCCTTAACTTGCTCTCTGACCAGCTGGGACCTGCTGAGAAAGCGATGCTAACTGCAGAAGCAATAAAAGTCCAAGGCACTAAAATATCCAGCAAGCATACTGGGAGAACAGACAAGTATTCAAGTACATTAATTTATACAATTTTACATTCACATTTATCTAATACAATGAAAATACAAAGGAAAAAGTTAAAGTGTCTCCAATAAGTATAGGATATAGCTAGCTTTTTTTCCATTTTTAATTTTTAACTTTTTTTAACCCTCTATTTTCCACTCATTTTTAAACTACTGTTGTCCAACAACATTTATATATCACAGTGTTTCCACATCAAAACTGATGGTAAGTACATGTCCGCAGGGAACTTTTTAAAATTTATTTTTAAACAATTTAAATTGCTCTAATGCTGCAGTCAAAGCTGTTAATATCTTTTACTTAAAGCAGTAATGACCTATCTCTCCAAGCATGGGCTGCACTGCAAGTCCATTTGTGTGTCTTACCACTCAGGAGGTAAGGATGATTGGGGGAGAGGAGGGAGATTTGGACAGCTTCTCTCCTGGCCTTGATTCTTCAGGGAAGATGAGAAGTGTGTTAAAACCTCATGCTAAGAGCAAACTCTCCATCTCAGCACATGTGGATTCAGACTCAAACCGAAGTACTTTTACAGTGAGATCACACTGATCCAGTGACTTCTATCTTCATTGCTCAGCTTATACAAGAGCAGGAGTGTTCATGCTCATCACCCTCCTCCCCCTTCAGAAATGGAGAAACTCTCCTTACCGAGAGCTGACAGCAATGGTTGGAAAAGGGAAGCTCATTCCCATTCTGGCAGAAATAGCCAGTTCAGTGCAGCACTAGTAGCCCTAACTCCCTCCCCATCTCCTGTCCCAAGTTCTACCCAGCAGAGTCTCTGGGTCTGGCTAAGTGGTCCGAAGGTTGGAGCCTGGGGGGTTGCTGATGGATTTCTGCAAGTTGCTGATGTTGAAGCTTTGCAAAGAGGCAGCTCCTACAGGCTGGAATTGACCAAGGGGTGGTTGTGCTGGACTACCTGTCCCACTCCAGGGAGCTGCAAAGGGCGCGGCTGGGTAACCGTACTGCTGTGGAGGGCACATAGCCTTTGTGAAGTGACCTAGAGAGGTAGCTGATGCTGCAGAGATAGGAGTAGCACCCAGGGAGGATGACATAGAAATACATAGCTGGCTTGGTGCTGAGAACTTTCTTGCCATTCCAGGGCCCTGAAAGAAAACCCAGCCCCCAAGAGAAGTTATTTAAGTGTGGCTGAAGCAGTTCCCCTCTATCCACAGCCCCTTCCATGTAACTGAGTTAAATGGGTGCTTCTCAAAAGACATCATGACTCTCCCCACTCTAGTGCCTGAAGAACAGGTGGCAGGAGCCCTCCACATGTAAGCTATGGCTCATTCCCTCCTAGAGCACTATTTTGGCCTGGCTACATGGAAACTCTTCTTTACATATGTGTTTTGATACTCCGATAAATTAGGTTAGCAGTGACAGCTCTCCATCCATGCATGTTCAAGCAGGAAATATCTTACCTCATAGTTGCTATGCCCCTTGCCACCTCTCTTTCCTGAGAGGTTCATAGCATCACGGGCCCAGTTGTCTACCAACTTGTGCAGGTCATCTGTGAAAGTCCCTTTCCGGCTCGAAGTTATGGCAGGAGGCTGAGATTGGGTTGCCTGGCTGTTCACTGTACCCCCAACTGTGTTGGTGCTGCTGGTCCCTAAAATTACAAAGACAACAACAACAGAATCAAAAGCCAGGTTACAACTAGTTTTCTAGGAAGTTTAGGAATTATGACAATAGCGGAATAATACAGAGCCAGAGTTTAAAAGCCATGCACATGAATTCTACATTTCGATTCTAGGACATGTTGAAGGGGGAATTTAGAAGGGCTCATTTAGCTATTTTCTCAGATTAAAGGTATTTTGTAGATGTGTTTGTTTCACAAGAAGTGCTGCAAGTAGCAGTCGTGTAGGAATTGAGCGGCTGCTGCCCACGTCAGGCTCCTCTTTTGGCAGTGAGGGAGGAGGGAAGATTGGGTTTCATATTAAGTGGCAGCATTCGTGATGAATAGCTGCTCGCTTCCCCGGCACCATGTTTTTTAAAAAAACGAGTAACAGCTACTGGTTGAGCACAGTTCATTTCCAACTCTGCCCACCGGATACAGAAGCAGAGTAAGAAGCAGTACGGTCAGCACAGCTAGCTGCTCTGTAACTCTGCAGGATGCAGAATGCACCAGGAACTCAGTTTGTGTGAAGAGAACATCGGGCTGAAAGTGAGACACTGCAGGCCCTATTGCACTCAATAACTACAGGACTCATGTCCAATGGGATAGTGCACACAGATCCCTACGATATCCATCAGGCAGCGACTGCAGTATGCAGGGCAGCCTACACTTCAAAAACAAACCAACTCCCCACACACACACACACACCCCGAAAAAACCCAACGTTCTTTGGTGCGTTCCAGGAAATCTTTTTTGCCATCGTGATCAGATTCGCCATTCAGAGCAGCAAGCATTCCATGTGAAAACAGCAAATTCAGTTTGCTGTTGGAGAACAGAGAACATACATGGAGAAACTATTTTATTCACATGTTGACTAAGAATAAAGGAGTCCACATAATGCTGAAAAACTGGATTGTTATTGGCTGGATAAAGAGTCATCGTTTGCGGATGAACCTACAGACTAACTGCTGCTTGATAAACCCATAGCAAATTTAAGGTAAAATCTTACCATTTTGAGGGTAAAAGGATAGTCCAAAACAGTGGGAATATCCACTGTCTGGTGGAGATGTATGGTTTTGCTGGGCCCAGACAGAGAAACATTTCCACTTGGCTAGGTAACATTTTCTGGTGTTTTTTTCTGCTATTAAGAATGATTTTCACCACTTCAGAGAAGGAATGTTCTAGGTGCGACACCAATCCAAATACCAAGCCATGAGATGAAGAGCATCTGGGGTGGGATGCCTTACCCTACCACTTTTCTGGGTCAAGAGATCCAAAAAAGTCCAAATGCTGTTAAGTGGAGAGGATGACATTTGAAGGAGGCTTGGAAACCCAAATTGTTCAGGCCATCTTGGGTGATGGAGGATGACTTGTGCCCCATCTAGTCAAATTTCCCATAGAACTCAAGGCAGTAGCGGGATGGAAGGGAAGGCATAGCTGAAGTGATCTGTCGACAGGAGGAGGAGTGCATCACTTCTGGAGTACTGACCTTGGGTTCCTCTGAAGCAGTACATTTTGTACTTCCTGACAGGTTGGGGAGCCCACATGGTCAGGTTTCAAGTGGGGGCTCCCCACTGAGTGAAGATACTGTTTACTACTGAATTTTGTAACTCCTCCTTGTGATCAGTGGTGAAATGCCTGCTGACACTGTCTGCCAGTGAATTCTGGATGCCCAGGAGGTACATTGCCAATAGGGTGATGTGGTTCTGTATACACCAGTTCCATAAGTTGACCGCTTGTATGTACAGGGGCAAGGAACATACCCTCCCCATTTGTTCATATAGGAAATGGTAGTTATGTTGTCCGACCTTATGAGGACGTACTGAGATTGTATGAATGGTAGAAATGCTTTTAGCAAGCCTCCCATACTGATCTCAGTTCCAAAAGACTGATGTGCATTCTAGCTTCTTGAAACGTCCAAGTGGAACAAATTGCCTAGGGAGGTTGTGGAATCTCCGTCTCTGGAGATATTTAAGAGTAGGTTAGATAAATGTCTATCAGGGATGGTCTAGACAGTATTTGGTCCTGCCATGCGGGCAGGGGACTGGACTCGATGACCTCTCGAGGTCCCTTCCAGTCCTATAATCTATGAATCTATGAATGTGTGATCACCCATGTGGGCTCCCCAACCTATCAGGGAGGCGTCTATTTATGGTTGGGTGTAGGTGATTAACACTGTGGGATTCATGCTGTACTTGCTCGGTGTATATGCTGTTGGGAGCAAAGCTTTCAGGCAACAAAGGTGGAGTCAGGTGACTAAGATTATGCAAGTATATAACTCCACATAGCCCAGGAGAGTAAGGCACATCTGAACTGATGTTCGAGATTTGCATGTAGCCAGGTCTATGAGAGCACCCATGGCGCAAAATCGGTCAGTGATGAAGTAGGCCCTTTCCTTGATTAAATCCAGTGTTGCTCCTCTAAATTCTATGGTCTGTGTCGGAGACAAGGTAGACTTTTTCATGTTTACACAGATTCCCAGGGATGCTAGAAGCTGGAGCAGCAACGAAGTTGATGTTAACACTTCCAGGCAAGACCTACTGGTTAGAAACCAGTTATCCAAATACGTGAGGATGGCAGAGCCATCTTGTCTACACTGAGCTGCTATTATTGAGAAAACTTTTGTGAAGACTCTGGGAGCAATTGTGAGCCCAAATTGGAGCACCCTGTATTGACAGTAGTAGGGATCCACCACAAACCTAGGGAATCATCTGTGAGAGGGGTAAATAGCCACATGAAAGTAATGTCTTTCATTTCAAGAGCTAAGGTGGGTGAAGTAATATCCTTTACTGGACTAACTTCAGTTGGTGAGAGACAAGATTTCAAGCTTACATAGAGCTATGTAAGCTCAAAAGCTTGTCTCTCACCAACCAAAGTTGGTCCAATAAAACATACTATCTCACCAACCTTGTCATTCTAATATCCTGGGACCAGTACAGCTAAAATACTGCATATATCAAGAGCTGAGAACCATGTTGAGGGATGGTATTATCAGCGTTAATATAACCATGCGGAATTTTAGGTTGAGAATGGGTCTTCAGCCTCCTTTCTTCTTGGGGACTAGTATACTTTGAACAGAACCCATTTCCTTGATGTTGAGGTGGGATGCTACATTTCTCCTCATTGGGGGGAAAAATCCTGTATTTTCTGACAACTCCCTATGAGAGTGGTCCTTGAAAAAGCACAGGGAAGGCAGTTTTGGGGGAGGTGGGCAAAGAAACTCAATGGTATAGCTGGAATGGGATGATATCCAGTACAGATTTGTCTGTTATTTAACAGTTTGGGGAAAATTTCACTAGCCATCCGCCTGAAATGAATCTCAGAATCTGGTGGCATCGATATTGGTTCAGAGCTCTCTAGAATCAGGTCAGAAATGTTGGTAGTCATGACTGGAGTGGAAGGCACCAGGTATTTTGCTCTCTACATTCTTTGTTGTTTGCAAGATGGCTCATAGGAGTGTTGATTAAAACGTTGGGGGTAAGGACCTTGATTTTTAAGGCTGTTTGATATTTTCTCTTTGGAGCAGGTGTATAAATACCAGGGAGCGAAGAATTGCCCTAAAGTCTTTCAATAAGTGCAAAGACTCATCCGGTCTTTTCATTAAAGAGATTAGTTTCACCAAATGAGGTCTTCAACTGTGCTCTGAACCTCCATCTTGAGCCCCAAAGACTGTAACCATGATTCCTGCTGCATCACAATGGCAGCTGCCAGGAATCTCTACCATATCAGCCACATCAATTACATCCCACAAAAAGATCCTGCCACCACTCTGCCGTCAATAAGTGCTTGAAATGAGCCCTATCTTCCTGAGGCAGTTTATCCTTAAAGTCTAGAAACTTATGAGCAGTTGAAGGAATATTATTTGGCAAGAAGAGTCTGATAATCTGATCCTAAACTGTAGACTGATAGATGCAACCATCTTTCTCCCCATAAGGTTGAGACATTTGCCTCCTTACCTGCAGGGGTGGTCCTTGGTGCTGTTGTCTGGATCTTTCAGTGGCTGCCTGGACTACCAAGGAGTTCAGAGCAGGGTGTGTAAACAAGAACTCTGTTCCCCTAGTCACGGCAAAGTCTCTGCCCTCTTGTGGGTAAGGGCACAGCTTTAGCTGATTCCAGAATGGCTCCATTGACCAGGAGAGCAACCTGACTGGAGCCCGCAGTTTGGAGGATATCCAGGAGCTTATGATCAGTATCCTGGACTTCCTCTAAAGAGATCTGAAGCTCTTCCTCCATTCTCCATATAAGCTCCTGGAATGGTTTATGATCATCCAGAGGAAACTGAGAGGCTGGAGCGACCACTTCATCAGGTGAGAATGATACCTGTGTTGGAACCAGATTATCTTCCCTTTTTCCATGGACTCAAGGTTTCAGACTGGCCCCTTGGAGGAGAATGGTGGTATGAGTCCCCATTGGAATGGATAGATTCTGGGTAACATGCGTAAGGGTCCCAAGAACCCCAATAAGGGCAGTATGAGGGGTTGAAGCCAGGTTGTGGTGACCTCCAAGGCACTGAGTACCACTGGTCTGAGGAGGAAGATCTTACCTATATAGTCTAGGCTGATTCCAAGAAATTCTCAATCCCCTGTCTGGGCTGAATTTCCCTGGGTGGAGCAGAAGCTGCTTCCACCAGTATATCTGACCCTTCTCAAGATGAAAAGGTCAGATATAGGTCCATCAGCAATGCCAACGGATCCACAGAGAGAAATCCATGGCTAGCGGACAAGACAGGACAGCCTTCTCCCAGAGTCCTAGATTCTCACAGGCACTAATTTCTCTCTAGTGAGAATCAGTCCTGATAACAAGGGAGACTGTGGAACCAGGAGAACGAAGTTATCATCAGCAGTGGTATAAATCAATGATATTTTCAGAAATTGTAATCTGTTACTCCATACCACTGAAGTGGTAGTTGATAGCAGTTCCTTATGGGGCTGTGCCAGTACTGTTAGTGAATGAGTCTCTGACCTGACCGTAACCAACAGTTCCCAATCCTTTGGGTTTTGGTGCTTCGGTTTGGATGGTACTGCAGTCAGTGTTGAGGTTGGAGCAGAGGCGGATACTGAAGGAGTCTTGCTCCCAAGTCTTTTGACTATGCCTATGTGGCTTACGAGGGCCTAACCTCCTATGGCTTGGGCATAAAGGCTCACCTGACGTGGATGGGGGTCATGGAGGGATCTCTCCTCTTCCAGGGTCTAAGAGAGTGTCTGAGGGAGTGCCCCTTACTCTCATGAGGAGGCCCAGTCAAAAGGTGCTTCCCTCCACCCTTCTCTGCACCGGAGTCAGACAAAGAACTAGGAGACATGCTCCTTGTCAACTCTGGCCAACATACGGGAGAGTCTCCCCAGTGTTGGTCTGATTGGAGTCTCATTGCCTTGAAGTCAGAGCTCTTGCCCCTGCTGTGTTAGGCTGGAGAAGGAGTGGCAGATACTGCACTTGGTGGAGATAAGTGCCTCCTCAAGCCAGTCCCACGCCAAGAAGCTTCCCCAGGGTGGGGATTCTAACACTAGCTAACTATAACTCTCAAAAACACAAAAAAAACCCCTAAGAATAATGTAACTTTGAATATATTTACAGGATGAAGAGAAAGGAGAAACTCTGGACACTGTGGAGGATTCCAGCTCAGGCCTTGTGGCAGTAAATGAACCAGAGAGGCAGGAGGTCAGTCTGCCATGTCTCTTATACACTGGGCGCAGATCGTGAAGAGAGTGGAGGCACAAGTGCAGACCAATGGACACTACTTGCAAGAACTCTCCAGTTTCAGGCATGTGCACCCCCAGTGGAATGCACAGAGGGTCCAGCACTCAAAGAACCACCATTCTTCCTCAAAATACAGGGAAGATGCTCACCAGTGCTGAATCAGCATACCTTGGACACCTGCCTCTCAACCAGGAGTAAGAGGCTTGCACAACAATTATCGCTGGCTTGCTACTAAGGTTACAACAGGGACAGCATCTGGGATAACCAAGGTGTGCTGAACAGATATGTCCGACAAAAGTTATCAAAAACCTCAGCACCGAAATCACCATCTCACTACTGAACAAGGCTAGAAGCCAAAACCACTACCTGAAACGAATAAAGTGGCTCTCTGTTACTCACTTCCCTAGACATCTCTCTTCAGGACCCTCATACCTGAGAAAGAACATCAACCCCTCCAAATCTCAGCTGGAATGGCTCTTGTTATGATATTGAAGAAGAAAGGCAACATACTCATTACCTGTAGCAACTGAGTAATGTGCTACTAGAGTGAGTAATGCTATCCCCTCTCCCAGTACTGTCTAGAAAACATGAAACCCTCTCCCCACCTATAGTACCTAATAATAGGGGTGTAATCTTTAGGAGCAAGGAGCCCCATGCAGCAATACAGATGAAGGGGGAAGAGAACGGAGGGCCTCTCTGACAAACATGTGGTGGGAGTTCAAAAGGAACAGAGTAACAGGACCATACCGTGTAGTGTGCTAAGGAAACTGACGGAACAATGAGAATCTCAAGCACGTGTAATGTGAAAGGGCCTGGAACAATTATCTGACAAGGCAGCAAAGCAAGTGAAAGGGTGAAGTTGGAACCCACATAAACAGGCAACAGTGAAAGCAAAAGGTACTTAAGAGGAGGTACCAAAACAGACAGCAAGATAATCACATTCCATAGTCAAGAGTTCATGCAGGAACCAGCACCTCTCAACCCCTTCCTGATGGCCAGTCATCTGCACCCCGCTGCTCGATACATTTATATATTGTATACCCAGTTACATTTTGGTCAGGAATTACAGCTCATACCCCAGTGTCTCCAACCTAATCCACAGACACAGGGTTGGGAGAGACAGGCACATTTAGTCAAGAGACACCAGCGTGTATTCGCTTGTAAACGTGCAATGGGATTTACAAACATTTTGAAATGCTTGCTTTGAGTAGCTTCTGTTGTCTACAAAGTGATTTTGTTAACTAATGAGCACTTGTCTCAGCCTCACAGCCGGGACAGAGTAGGATTGGCCTGTGCTGTAAAACATGAGCTGCTAATACATGGCTCACTTCTTATCAACAGCATTTTATTAAACAGTCTCAGGGATTTTAAATTTGAGAAGTTGGTTATTCTGCTCTAATCCAAACCTAAAGCCATCCAGAAGAGTCTGAAAGGGGAGTGCATAGATTCATGGCATTCAACGGAAACAACCCCCTCCAGTCCTGCTCAGCCACAGCAAACGTCCCAGTTTCTTGTCTGGTGACACAATGAAGGATTTGAAATGAAAACAGACGTCTCCCCTCAGCCTGTTACTCCATCATGCTTTCATTCCCTGCCCCCTTTTATTTCCTCCCTTGGAAACCAGCCTGAGCACCCACCCTCAAAGACAACCTTAGATAATACCAGCACACTTAGATTAGGCATATCTAAACTGTTCCTGTTTTGGGGGCACAGGTTGAAGCCATTTAATGGCTTGTCCTTACCCTTTAAGATCTTGAAGGAGTCTCTGCAATGGAATCAGGAGACAAGAGTAGGCAAACCCCTTCAGCATAGTCATTACAAGCAAATCCTGCTGCACAAAGGGGTAATTTTAGCACATCAGCTCTGCTGTGTGCAACTGATCTTACTTCACAATTCACTGTCATTACCAATCAACAAGGAGTTCCACAGCTAAGCTGAGGGCCAGCAAGCCTCTACAGCACTGAACAGCAGTTCATTTTCCACTGCAAAAATGACTAGGCAGCCAGAACCTATTAACATGTTAACAAAGGAACACATGTTAGAGAGAATAATTGGAATAATTGAGACAGAGACAGATGCTGTGCTGGAGACAGATTCACAGAGGTTAGGCTTCACTGATCAGAGGGAAACTCATGAACAGGGACCAGAAATAACAGAAATAAGATAATTACTACAGAGCTGGTTGCAAGGACAGACTTTTTTCACCATCTTCCCTGAAGCACAAAGAAAGAGTAATTTGTTAAAACAAGAGAAACAGTGAGAAGTGTTTAATATCAGCAAACAACACAAAGCCCAATGAGAAAGAGGAGACGATACAGCTGGACACTGCCACTGGCTGCAGTTACATTGAGAGCCCAGTGGATCTTCTATGGAAATACCCAGACCACAAGCATCATTTGTGCTCTCACACAAAACGAGACTAATATGATTGTTCTTTAAAAGTTCTCTGAAATCTAGTGGTATCTTAAGAATGTTAGGGATGTGCTGGTGTTTAGGGCTGGTACTTATCGATCACTGGCTGTTTACCACAAGAGCAACAGAAAAAAAAAAAGAAAAAAAATCTCCCACCTCTATCTGGAAAGGGGAAGTGTCCCTCATGGCTTTCATTTGTTTGAGAATTTGTGGGGCACTCAGAGGATCCAAGCGTGGATCATGTACTCTCACCCTCTGTCACTACATCCCCCTTCCATATTTTCTGAAATGTTAGTGCAACCGTTACAGATAACCCTACTGGGCCTGTACCAATCAGCTCCTCCAGCTGCAGAGTTAAAAGCAGGTTATTGACCAATGCACTGTTTCCTCTTCATTGCTGTTTCTAACGAGGTGTCTTTCCCCCACCCCCCAGAAGTGGCTGAGACAGTATATCAGATTCCAGGAAGCAAGCAACCTGTAAACAAACTGAGCATTCAAGCCAAGCTGCGCTATCGGAAGCATTACCCACTTTTACAGGACAGCTACAATAAACCTTTTAGAAGGTCCATCCACCAATGTCAAATTTCAGGAGTGAAAACAATCCATCCCACCACAGCATAATACCTGCTTCTCAGCAGAGGCTTTATAGTTTGCCTCAAGAAGACTGACAGCTGGACTGAGGTTGTGACAAGCTAACAGTACACTACCATATAAGAAAGCAGTAACGATAAGTACATCCAGCTCACAATGCCAATCTCAGAGGCTGAGAGTGAAGGAGTGACACCTCTACTGTTCTTTATATTACCCTCCCAAAAAAGGCATAGGGAAAATAAATATACACTTTCCCAGATTTTCTAAGAATTTAACTTCTTCCAGGAAAAGAAACTATAAAGCTTAGAAATCCAAATGGACATTCTTTGCACATCCCATCAATACTTTAGTCTACCTGCTCAAAGCTTTTAAAGCTGTGTTGTTTGGAGGCCAAGCAGCAGGAAGAGGTGAAAAGTTACACGAGCAATTATGCACTAATGGTGCATTTAGTCCCAATATTGGGAATTTATTTATGGCAGGATTGAAAGTATTGCTGAAAAACTCAACAATTAAGGACTCTTCTCACCCTCCTCTCAATATAAAGAGGATAATGGTCAGTTCCATTGCAGCTGTCTCTGTAGAAGGCTTGCTCTGTAACTGTTGCTTTGTTCATTGGAGTTCATCCACAAAGATCTCTAGCCCAGCTGAGCTGCTGCATGCTGTAGGAGGACAAATGCTACAAGTCTGTGGAATTTGTGTGAAATGTGGCAAATGAAGGCCATTTCATAGGGCTGCCAGCTCTCACATACCCAGTCATTTGCGGGGGGGCGGGAGGAGGGGGGAAGGAGTGTCACAGCATTCAAAGGTCCTATCTACATTGGAAGCATAGTGGGATTTTGTATCACTCCCAGGAAAAAAAAAGCATCATTTTTGCAGCCTTAGCCCATGCATTTAAACACTTCAAATAACCACATCAGAAGTTTGAGGCTCATAGGTCAAAAACCCCATCCTACTATCTCCCCGCCCCCCTCAGCTTTTAAACTTGAACTAGTTTGCTAGGACAGCTGGAATGGCCTTAATTCAGAAGGATATGGAGTATTTGTTGTGGGCTGGGAAGAAAGGGGTGTTTTGAGGAGTTTCTCTCACCACAACCCTCTACCTATGGCACATTTAATCTGCCTCCAGTCCTCAATACGAAGAGCCCTTTCTGAACATAGGTCCCTTGGCTACCAATATGGAACGTGATCATTTGGCCTGAGTGTTCCTTTGCACACATGGCTAATACCTTTAAACAGGGCCAGTTTTAGTCACTAGTTACTCAGTGATTAGGAGACCGACAATGCTGATTACCTCAGCACTTCTGGGAACAGCCTGCAGAGATTTACCCACCCAACAGGGAGATATGTGTTGGAGGAGGAAGCCATACAAATTTATTTAACATTTTCATTAAAGCAGCTACTTTTTCCTATTAGGAAAAACAGTACACACCATACACCCCCCACTGCTGTAATTTGGAATGGGCAGCCCTCTCACTGCCACCCTCTCAGTGCTACTGAGGAGAACCAGAATTTTTCCCCAGAAGTCTCCTTGGTGTCAACAAGTACAGTCTGTAACAATCATAAGTGAAACCATAAGGAAAGGCCCATATATTCATATACCGACCTCCTCCCCCCATTCTCTGCTAATTCCTTGAAGATCACTATTTCCCACAGGAAAGTTTTCCTAAAAGTTTATTTAAGTTATTTGGCCCTAGTTAAGGGCTATATTAAACAGGACACTTAACATGAGAACCCAAACTTCTAAGGTGTATTAAGAGCAGTTAAGCAGAGCCATGAAGTGGAGGGAATACAAGTAGGCAGAAGAGAATGGGCTGCATGAGACATCAGATCCAACAGCAGAAAAAAAAAAAATGAAGACAAGGAAGGAGTAAAGGTGTTACACACAAAGAGCCAAGCAGGGCGTACTCAGAAATCGGGTCCTCCTGCCACCAGGCTTGAACGTCACCCGCTCAGATGCACAGTTAAACTTCGCACAGCCTGTGATAAAACAAAAGAGGGAAGAACAGAGAAAGGAGAGGAGAGACACAGAACACAACTACAAGATGTTAGCAACTTGAGGTTGGATGGGTGAAATGCAGTAACATGGCACACAAGAACAAGCCTCAAGAGGTGGAGTAGGGGATATGTACACAGTACAAGGAACAAGGACTCTTACTCCACTCATAGGTCGAGTTTGTTTTTTGCTAAAAAGAGAGTGCTACCTTCCAATACCTAATCCATTAGGAATAAGGCTGCACTCCACAGCTGAATTTAACTCCTGGCAAAGGCATTCTCTCAATTACATAAGACACTGCACAACTTCAGGACACAGGAAGTTACACATTAGTAGCCCCAGTATTTCTGAAACAGGTTAGTGGAGAAAGGGAAGAGAATCCCCAGAAGGAAAAGTTTCTGAAGGAGCGGCTTTCCATCTTCCATTCTTTTACTTCTTGATCCTTTTCTCCCATCAATGTCTACATTTTACTCCACTCACTGTAATTCAAACAAAACCACCACCAGCTTGAGACTGCTGCATTCAACTAGTCTCATGGGAACACTTACAATGGGTATTTGTAAAATAACGTATATGGAAAAATGGAACAATTGTGACTCACAGAAATGAGTAAAGCAATACACAAATAGACCAACAATCCTTAATGAGTGGAAGAAAGGAGGCCCCCAAATACCAAGCAGAGCCTTCCAGAGACTAGTTAAAGCTCTAATACCTTATCAGAAGGATAAATGCCCAATCTGGGTGCTATAAGGAAAAGAGTGCTATTAACTACCCCCTTCCACTGTGTGCTCATATTTTACATCCATATCTTCAGAATTTTTTAGCCAATAGAACTGCAGAGTTAGCTGCATTTTATGAAGGATTTTTTTCACCCTCTTCAGGTTTTTCTAACCTTTCAGTGCTGCCATTAGAGCAGAAGGCGCAGTATGTTACCCCTTCATTACCTCACCTCTGATTTTCCCAACCTGAAAACTTAGAAATCTAACTGCAAATAGTGTGCTAGGCCTCACAAAGAGACAGACTAACACCCTGATCAGTCTCTAAACACAGGCCATACTCTGAAGTCAATCTACTGTATTTTGAGGCTGAGAACTCCCTGGTATAAGACTTAGCATTAATTCCATAGAAGTTCTTACCTTGGCCTGGTGCAGAAAGGCTTGGTACCGAAATAGCACCATCACTGGTGAAGGCAGAGTAGAGGTTCTCACTAGAAGGAGATGGTTTAAGGGGCTGTAACAGATGGTTCTGCCCAGTCTCTGGGACATTTCCAGGAGGATGAAGGGTCTGCTGGGGGGGCAAGACTGAGGGGGCACTCTGAGAAGACTGATTGCCTATAAAAAGAAATAAGAATCAGGACAGACAATATAGACATTCAGCTTCCCCACCTCACCTCAGAGGCTTTTCCATTGTTCCCATTGGCCAGAAGGCAATGTGTCTAGAGCTGATGAATGCTTGGGAGATTTAGCAGGAAAAATCTGCAGTGAATAAATTAGAACTAAAACCGATCACTGGGAGGGACTTGTACGAGTGATAAGGGAGAAATGCTGAGAATGTAAGATCAGCAGGAAAATCCCAAGGAAGGGCCTTCACCCTTTTGCCAGAATTCTAGATTAACATGCCTGACCAAAGGATACAGAGGGGACTTTGCTGTTGCTGAGAAAGGAGCCAGGAGTATAATTTGGAATAACTGTTTTTTAGAAAGGTCTCTAATTACAGCCCTGTTCTGCCTCACTGTGTGTCAAGATAGGTCCTCCATTGCATGCAAGAGCAGAATTAAGCAGTGCAGGTGACGGAGCATGGGGAGAAAAGGTGTCTCATTACTTTGACAGATGCCAGTCTATTACTGAGAATCTGGTTTTGAAAGCAAAAAAGACTGCTTTATAGTAGTTTTAGCTCATTCATTGGTATGGAGATTCATCTTCTGTTCTGTGAGCCCTTTAGGTCAGAATACACCGCTCACGTAACAGTCCTTAGAGAAGATATAACAGCAGGGATTTTTGCATCTCATTCTTAGAATAGTGAAATATTTAAACAAGTCTTTGGGAGTGTCATCTATAAATCTGATCTTTAAAAAAAAAAAGTTTGGTGTTGTCGTCATATGAGAAGCTGACAGCACTGGAGATAGAAAATCCTACTTATCCATAAAAGAGATACAGACAGTGAAAGCTTTCCCAAAATACCCTGCCAATGCACTACCACCTTGACCTGGAGGCACCTCTTCTGTCAGTAAAATGGACAATGGATACTGAACTTCCATTCAATCCTTGGTCTTCGCACTGAGACTACTAACAGGCAGGCCAATTAATGCTAAAATTGCTAGTCTGACCACCAACCCACTTCACAAAGACCACTGATGCAGTTTGTGGAAGGAAAATTCACTAGTTGAAGATATGTGCCCTGCTGTGTCCTGTTGACTCTGAACCCAGAGCATAGCAGCCACTTCAACTAATATTTCCATTCACAATGCTGGCCTTCCCATATCCATGTGCTCAACGGCATTCACAGGGTTTTAGAGGGATTTTCGCATGTGCTGGGGAAGGAACTTTGATTTTCATGGACCTATTTTTTCTGACTACTGTTGCTAGTTAGGAAAACTTGAGTGTTTTAATAAGAATGGCTTCCCTCACAATCCATCTTTTTCCTCATTTAATCCTGTAATTACATGAGATGCTTAATTTGAGACATTGCAGTCCCTTCCACAGCAGACTGACGTAAAAAAATCAGATAATAACTTCATTGAAACAACGAGATGCTGTGCTGTTAAGCACCTATTAAAGAAAATAAAGACATCTGCAACAGCAGTCAAAGGTACTTGGTGGTATTTCTGTTCAATTTTCTACTTAAAAATTAGCTCCACTGTGCAAGTCCATCTTTAAAATGTGACGAGAACAACCAGGAATTAAACTGGAGGGATCAAGAGGCCCTACTAAAAATAAGTTTGTCTGACTTTTTCCCCTATGCTTTAGGCTTCATCCTTTGACACTGGAATCCCCAGCTCTTGCCAGTAGAAGCACTATGACTAGTGCTAGTAGAAGCCGGCAGCATTATCTCCTGCAAATGTAAACCAACTTGTTTGTCTGAGTGGTTGGCTAAACAAGAAGTAGGACTGAGTGGACTTGTAGGCGCTAACATTTTATATAGTTTTATTTTTGAATGCAGGTTTTTTTGTACATATTCTGCACTTGTAAATATAACTTGCATGATAAAGACACTGCACTACAGTATTTGTATTAGGTGAACTGAAAAATACAATTTTTTTTACACTGCAAATATTTGTAATCCAATATAAAGTGAGCACTGTACACTGTGTATTCTGTGTAGTAATTGAAATCAATTTGAAAATGTAGAAAATATCCCAAACTATTTAAATAAATGGTATTCTATTATTAACAGTGCGATTAATCGAGATTAATTTTTTTAATCGTTTGACAACCCTACTAAAAAAACAAAGTGGTCAGCAAGTCTACAAAACACCATTAGTAAGAGTTATATGAAAAAGGCCTTTCTCCAAGGCCAGACTGAGAGGAACCTAGCAGACTCGTATGCTGTGCAAAAACAGTGAGATGTACAAACCCAGATGAGACTCTCAGTGAGTTAGATTCCTCTGAGAGACAGGCAAGAGATCACCTCAACCAACCACCCCTCAATCTGTGGGTTGAGGGTGTCCCATGATCTATTGTAAAAAGAGTTAGGACAGAATCAAAAGGTGCTAATAAACAATTTACCCTGTGTGTCACATTGGTACTGAAACCTGAGGATGCCTTACCTAGCAGCTGAGGGCTCTTATTACCCTGGGAGCTGCTGCGGCTGGATTTGCTGCCTTTTCCTTTAGTAGGTCTCCTCCTCCTCCCTGAGAGAGGAGCAGCTGGGGGGATGATTACTGCAGGGGGGACCTTTCCCAGTTTGGTGTACAGCAATTCAATCTCCTGCTTCTGGCGACTGTGCAGCTCCTGGATCTCTTTATAGTGCCTAAAGAGTTAAGAACATGAATAAGAACTTAAACAGTCCTGTCCCACCCGACTGAACAGCTTTCTTTCTGAGGGTGGAAAAATCTTAGCCACAATTAGCAAGCTGGATGCCACACACAAAAAATCACTTGCTCCATTCCCCTTATAGAAATTGTAACATTGGCTAGAACTCTGACGTATGGTTTGCCTGTTAGCATAACAATGATAAAGCCAGGAAGGGGAGCGGGGATGGATCATCAATAAGGTCTGGAGCTTCAGCATAAACACTGTAGGGCTTGCAAGATTCGCACTCACTTTCCTAAGACATAAGTGCTTTGAAATTTCCACAAGGCTTGGTATTGACTCAGATTCTTCTGAGGTTTTATATGTACAAGATCTAAAACTGTCAGCTATCCTTAAAAATACACACACACACGTGTACGTGGGTGGGTGTTCTTCACAGGCACTTATGCATGAAGTCTAGCCTACCTTAGAAAACAACACAAGAACTCAGGCAGCTCAGTTTTCTCAGACATCTTTGTCCCTATCCCTATGGGCTCAGAATAACATTTTCAAGTTCCCTTAGGTGGTTTAGGAACTTAAGTTCCATTTTCAAAGGAGACACTGGCACCTGACTAGGTCAACTTGTGACACACATTTATACACAAGAGATATCAGTTAAAACTGAGCATAAAAAGTATGGGTGTGTATTTATAGAAAAAAAAGTTACTCACCTCGTAACTGTTATTCTTCAACATGTGTTGCTCATGTCCATTGCAATTAGGTGTGCGCGCGCTGCGTGCAATACTTGGAAAGTTTTTCCCCTAGCAGCACCCGTCGGGTTGGGTGTGGAACCCCCTGGAGTGGCGCCTTTATGGCGCTCAATATATGACCCTGCGCCTCCTCAGTTCCTTCTTGCTGGTTACTCTGACAGAGTGGAAGGCGGGTGGGTTTGGAATGGATAGGAGCAACACATCTCGAAGAACAAGTGTTACAAGAAGGTGAGTAACCATTTTTTCTTCAAGTGATTGCTCATATTGATTCCAAATAGGCGATTCCCAAGCCTTACCTAGGCAGTGGGGTCAAAGTTATGGAATCACTGATTGGAGCACCGGTCTGCTGAAAGCTACATCATCTCTGGCATGCCGGATGATGGTGTAGTGAGAGGTGATCTACGTACTGAGGACCAAGTTGCTGCCCTGCAGATTTCTTGTATCAGGACCTGACCCAGGAACGCAGCTTATGAAGCCTGAGCCCTCGTGGAGTGTGCAGTAAGAGCCGGGGCTGGTAATTTGGCCAGCTCATAGCACGTGCAGATGCATGACGTGCTCCAGGAAGATATTCTTTGAGATGAGACCGGGAATCCTTTCATCCAGTCTGCCAGCGTTATGAACAACTGGTTCGACTTCCTGCGCTCGATGTAGAAGACTAGTGCTCGTCCAACATCCAGGGAGTGCAGTCTCTGCTAATGGCTACTGGCATGAGGATTAGGATAAAAAGCAGGCAGGAAAATGTTCTGCCTACTGTGGAAGTGTGACAACCTTAGGAAGAAAGGCCGGGTGAGGTCTGAGTTGCATCTTATCCCTGTGGAAAACCGTATAAGGTGGGTCTGAGGTAAGGGCCTTTAACTCCACGACAGACAGAAAAGGGAGCAAGTCGCCAGCGGTTCAAATGGGGGGCCCATTAGCCTGGAGAGGACCTGGTTAAGGTCCCACATGGGGACAGGTTGTCTAATCTGGGGATGTAGCTGTTCTAGACCCTTGAGGAACCAACCAACCATAGGGTTGGCGAAGACGGAGCGTCCAGATGCTCCCGGGTGGAAAACCGAAATAGCAGCGAGGTGTACCTTTATGGAGGACACTGCCAAGCCTTGCTGTTTCAGGCACAGAAGGTACTCTAAGGTAAGAGGTATAGATGCCTGAAGAGGGGGATGTACGATGCTAGTCACACCAACAAGTAAATCTTTTCGACCTTGCCAGATATGTGGCTCTAGGTGAGGGCTTTCTGCTGCCAAGTAGGACCTCCCTTAGCTATTCTGAGCACAGAAACTCCATGGGGTTCATCCATGAAGCTTTCAAGCCATGAGATGGAGGGACTGCAGGTTGGGGGTGATGAAATGGACCATGGACCTGAATGATCAGGTCAAGTAGGAGAAGCAACATAATCGGGGCATCCCCTGACAGTTCCAGGAGTGTGGTGCACCAATGTTGTCGAGGCCACGCTGGTGCCGCCAGAATTATCTCTGCCCTGTCCCTGCGGACCTTTGAGTAGGACCTTGTGCACGGGAGAGAACGGGGGGAAAAGCGTAGAGCAGGCAGCCTCCCACGGTAGGAGGAATGCGTCCGTGATTGAGCCTGGGCTGTGTTTCTGAAAGGAGCAGAACATTGGGCACTTTTTGTTGCTCCAAGTGTTGAACAGATTGACCTGATGAC